TTTGAGAGTTGTGGTGATTTATTGAAATACTCCCAAAAACGCCAGTCTTCAACGCTTGTGACTGGTGAAAGGGCCCAGTAGTAAGTGAGTTTTAAAACCCTTCCTACTGTAAAAAAAAACCAACCCAACTCAATGATAAAAGGAGAGAGTCTGGAAGATATCGATAAAAGTAAAAATGAAAAAAGTTTCCCTCAAATAATGTAAATGAATTGCGTGGTGATGTGTTCGTCTTGCACATTGCTGGTGGAGTGATGAAACCTCGTAACCCTCAATTTTTTCGAAAATTGTTTTTTTGCCTAAATGTCTTCTCCCAGTCCTTCTTCACATTGTGTCAAAAGCACTAGGTTAAATTATAAAGAGAAAGTGTGAAAAAAACTTAATAAAAAAAACTTGTATGTTTGCCCCTATGATATCCTGGCGTGACGAAACCTGAGGGGCCGATCTGCTTTTGCGTGGTTTCATCACTCCCGGTTTGAGAGAGCGACTTGCTTACGAGGTTCTGGGTAAGCCTTCTGAATTGACTTAATGAAAACACTCGTAATTGCCATTTTCTGGTGCATTTTATATACCTGATTTAATAAAGAAATGTTTCATTCATTCATTCATTCTTTTATTCATCCATTTTATTTCAGTCAGTTCAGAAATTCAAATATGATCATAAAGGAAGGAGTTACATGTAAATCTATTTGAAATCCTGTTATAGGGATGACTAACGCATAGGAAAACAAGATGTTCTCATTAAACACAACGTTGTTAACACTTAATTTAAGGCAACAGTCACACCTTGAAAAGACAGGTGACAATAGTCCTTACTAAAAATAAATGACAAGTCTATGCACTCTCCAGATGTCACCTGGCCATTTTGTTTATCGAAGAGAGGGTTTCACCCCTTCTCAGACTATGAATCCGCTGATTAGTCGAATCCTTCAGTCGTGGTTGAGACCAAATATTACTGAACTTACCAATGTTCTTCTTGACCCTGAAGTCTATAGATGACATTGTGACAAACTTGTGCCTCAACAATACAAGTGATATGGACATTTACGCATCCCCAGAAAGGGTTTTCAGGGGTGGCAACAAACGAAGGCCATCCGTGTATCCGGTCAGGAATACCATTATAATGATTCAATGAAAGCCCAGCTACGTCACAGAGAAACTAAACTGTGATTGCAAGAGCTGAACTCTGAAATGTAAAGGGCAGAGGGCTGTCGAGGAAGACAGACGCATTAATTTTGATTTCGTGTGGTCCTCTCATGGGATGAAAAAAAATGACTCTATATTGGACTAGTGGACATACACCAACCTCAGAGGGGGCATTCAGAAACTAGCCAGACAGGGCATATACCTCCAAATACACATTTAAAATGGTGGTATTAAGGTGCCAGTGTGTAAAAAGACGTCCTGCATTCGACTGGGTTGAGTGAATGATTTGTAGGAAACATTCAGAACAAATTATCAAAGGAACTCAGATATCTACCAAATGTATGCACAATTCTGCCAAGACCACGGGAGGTAGCCTCTTAACAGACCCCCCCCCCCCCCCCCCCCCCATTAATGAAACAATCAGGCAGAATAGCCTGTCTTGTTCATGCCAAAGAAAGATATGTGTGAAGTTGGCAGCGTGCGGAGAAAAGGGGCAGCGGGCAAAGAAAAGGAACGAGGCAAATCTGAAGCCGTCAAATATCTCGCCAGTGATGAACCTAAAACGGCGCATGTTTTCTACAGATCTTCAGCTTGTGCTCCTTACACTTACACCCAAACTGAATGCATCAGCCTTATCTTACAAAACAAAGTGTTTTGTTCATAACTTCACGCTATTTGAAGCTACAACACACCAGACTACTTGTTACATGTGGCATAAAGCAGAAGGGGAATTAGCTAATAAGTTTGCTTCATGTCTACTGGCTTTCTTGAAGGAAAAGCTGTACTTCCAGAAAACCATCATCGATAGCGACTGCTGTGGTTACATTTCTATATCTAACTCTAAACTAATTGGTCTTGAAGAAACATCGTTATTTCTTTGTGGCGTTCCAAACTACAAACGCATACTGCAACCAAATGAGCTGCGAGAAAGCTCGCAACCCTCAAACTCTCTCCTGATGAAACCTCGCAACCCTCTCGCTGGCTGACTACGAGATTTCATCACGACAAAGATGTTGTAGTGAAACCTCGCATCCCACAGCGTAACCATTTAAACCCTAGAAAAGAGATTTTTTTTGCACTGACCACGTTTCTAAGGTGTTTTCATTTATCTGTACCAACTTTGGTTCATGGAATATAGATCATTTTGTTCACAAGTAAATCAGTTTTTTGTCTCTGCTGTAAAATTTTCCTTTCTGGGGTTGCGAGGTTTCATCACTCTACCAGCGACATATTGTTTTCATTATTATTAAGTCCTTAAAGTCCTTCTCGCCCACCAACTTGGTACGGATACACACGCCCACTGTTTGTTCTCACATCAGACGCATAATGTGTGATGGTGACAACTCTTCTATTATATCTATATAAAGGATAAGAATTTCCTTGGAAAAAAATCGAAAGTAGTTATTTTAAAGGTTTGATATTTCCAAGGTTTTCCCGGAGAAAAAATTGGAAAGCTGTGATTGAGAGATTTGTTGTGCCGATTGTCAGGTTTCATATCGAGTCCATTGAATATGAAAACTGAATGAGAATTCCACCTTTCTAGTGTATTTGCGGATTTGCGTTCAAGTATTCTCTGCGATTAAACCGTTACATTGTCATGTCTAACCACATTCTGTCTGTTTCATTCTCTCCCTCAGTTGTTCCACCCACCGGAATTGTCCACAGAGTGACAGGCGAGTACATCCATGTTCCCGAGATGGTGCCAGAGTTGGTAGTGCCAGATCTCACTGATTTCCAGGTACAAAAAAATTGTGTGAAGTAGAGTGGAATCACCCCTGAGCTGCATTAGGTCATGGGATTCCCCCAGCACAGGGGCCTATTTACCTGCGGCATTGAAGGGGTAGTAAATGGTTCTGGCATGAGTAGGCCTATTCTAAGTGTTTTCTCTTTGTATTTACTTGTTAGACAATAATTTTATTGAGTAAAAAAATGTGATGAATCATAGTGTGACTCGTATCATGTCGTCAATTTTTGTATTTTAGATTGTCAAGAGTTGATTTTTTTTTCCTCTTTCAATTGGCTCAGCTTGTGCACCATTTTTCGGCTTTGGAAATTTCAAATCAATTATCAGGGTGCTCAAAAGGAAGTTTTGCTTGTATGAACCAAAGAAAGTAGACTAATAAAAGTTATATGTTATATGTACATTCATTCATCCAGTTCCAGATCTGCGACAGACATTGGCGATCATGGTTCTCCATTCATTCCTCTGCTCGGACGCTCTTAAAAAAGCTAGAATTAGAATTCCCTGATCTTTCCTCATTACCCATTTGTTTAGGTTCCCTAAGTAGATTGCTCTGAGCCTACCCCTGCCTCGTTTGCTTTCAATTTTGCCAGTGAGAGCTAGATGTTCAAGACCTTTATGTCTATTCAGGTGTCCCAAAACTGCATTTGTCGTTTCCTAATTGTTTTTAACAGTGAGCATCCCTTGTGGGCTTGATCAAACACTACCTCGTTTGATTTCTTTTCCTTCCCCGATATTCTCAGCAGCCTCCTAAGAAACCACATTTCTGTTTCTTCAATTTTATTTTCACTGTCTTTAGTGATTGTGCAGCATTTACAGCCATATGGAAGGGATGACCCTACACTGTACACTAAATATCGTTATTTTCAACCTTGGATGCACAGAAAAAAGCCACCCGTGCTGTGGAAAAGTGCCCTTTGAAATCAACCTATATATAACGTTGAAATAAATATTGCTAAAAAAAAAAATCTAGATTGTCATCTACAATTTCAATGCTCAAAGTAAGTGGAATCAAAAGTTCATCACTAAAAACTATCGTGTTTTTTTGTTGAAAGAGCTACAAAACATCCCCCCCTCCCTATCACAAATGTCTCGATTTGTAACAATGTATTCATGGTAAATGGGGGGTATGTTGTTTTTTTCATCGAAAAAGAGTTCTTCCTCTCCTCACTCTTTTGGCGTTGGAAAGAGAGAGAAAGATTGTTTTACGGAGCGGGTTGTATCAGCTCTTAAAACATGTATTTACTAATGTCCTGTCTCGCTGTATGTATGCGTGAGTGCACCTAACCTTCCTAACATTCAACTGCCATTGTAAACGACCAAGACAAATTTCTCCCTGTGAGATGAATATAAAGATTGTCATTGTCTTTGTCCTTGTCCTTCTCTCCCCCCAGCTGAAACCTTACGTTTCTTACAAGGCCAAGGAAATCACGCAGAAGGAGCTATCGCCCAAGGACATTTTCAACTCTGTATATGCAGCAGACATCGAGGATGACTTCAGGGACGGCAGGATTAAGTTGGAAGGGGATAAAGTGATTTTTGCTGATGGAAGAATTCTCGCCCTGGACTCGTTCGACAGTAGTGCTGATGAGGACAAATCTGTTGCAGAGACAACTGTAGATCGGACATGATGTCTGTGTTACGTGTTTGAATGTTTGGTGAAAATGTAGATGTGAGCTTGGTATAAACGTTCTAAACTTTGGCTTTATTTTGTTGTTTGATTGACCACCCAAGCCTGGTCCTAGTATTTTGTACCAGAGGGGTAGGAGTTGTGATGTAATGTCATTTGATGTCCAGATGAGATTGGAGGAATGAGAAAAGTATGCGAGAAAGAGAGAAAAATGATATAGGGATATTGGAAGGGAAATGTGAGGGAAGTGAGAAAGTGAGAGGAGAAAGAGGGTGAGAAGGAAAGGAGTGGGAAACCCAAATGGAGAAAGGGAGGCAAAGGAAGACAGAGAGAGATAGAGTCAGTGGGAGAGAAGGGTTGGAGTTGGAGGCAGACAGAAAGAGAGACATAGAGAGTGTGTACGATTGCCTAGTTTGCTCTGTGTTTTGTCTGTTCCTTTGTTAATAAATGTATCTGCTTTTACTTTTAGTTTCTTTTCATTTGTCTTACCATTTTTTGTTTCAATGTTGTTTACTAAGACAGAAATATGTTAGTAGGCCCTATAGATTCTATTTGTGACATTGTTGGTCCAGTTGTGAAGTTACCAGACTCTTAATCGTGAGGTTGCAAGTTGGGGGGGGGGGGGGGGGGGTTGGTTTGAAACTCAGCTCAGCCCAACGTGTCCTCTGGAAAGGCACTGTACATGATCACTTCACCCATGTGTGAATACCAGGCCGTAGACAGTGAAAGATTGTCAGTTTGTGTATCAGCGCTTGTCAAATAGCAACTTACACTGTATGCTTCTCAACCAGATTGATTCAGAATGCTATCAGGTCTGCTGGGGTAATAGAAAAGATAAATATACAATGTAAAACGCCCCGAGCTTGCTGTTGAGCAGGAATTTGCACTATGCAAATGCTATTTTTTATTATTATGAAAAAAGGTGTGTACAATTTTAATGTTCAAGCTGGTAACAAAAAAACCCACCAAAAGACAACCTCACTCTTGATGAACGCAACATGCACCTTTAATTGCAGTACAAGGCAGCGCTTTCAACAAAGTGATACATGTAGTAGGCTACATGAAAAAATTAGGAACAGTATTGCAAAAAATTTAGATGTAACGTTTTGAATCCCCAGCGACACAACTTAAATCATTTACAGGTCTGCCAACTTTTTCAGAACCCAATCCAGGACACATCCAGTGTTATGACATCAGACCATGTAGTATTAGTAACAACAAACAAAAATTGCATCATTTTAGTTTTAGTAAGAGACGGCGCTTGCAACACAATAAGGTCATATAAGTGCTGAAGATTAGGTGTTACAAGAAAGTAACAAACACAAAAAAAGGACAATAGACATTTGATAGGAAAGAGGGAGCAAACCACTCCAAAGCACCTGCCAACCGCCCACAAATTGCATAAAGTGGGACTGGTTTTGCTGTAGTGTGTATAGTAAAAACCAGACGTGGCTACCGAGTTTGTTTGTTTTTGTAAAGTGTTTTACGGCGCTCGCAACTGCATAAGGTCATATGAGCGCGGGACACACCTAATATTTTCAGTTGGTAGGAAATTTTGAATTTTGCCCGGGTGGCGGCCGAAGCCTACTCTTATCGATTTTAGACCACCAAGGGATCTTTAACGTGCGCAACTTGCACACGGGCCCTCCGAGATTTTTCGCCCTTTTCCGAGAAGGCTAGGTGTAGATCTTTCCTACCAGAAGATCAGGGGTGTGGCAGAAAGACAGCAGTAAGGAGGAGCCAAGGAGTAGCCGTAGAAAGGCTGCAGAAAGAGTCGGGAGCCCAGAGGAGGGGGCAAAGGAGGTGAGGGGGTGGGGGCAGAAAGTGGAAATGAAAGCAGACAACAGAACATTGCTAGAGAGCAGGAAAGGAAGTGAAAGGAGACAATTTTAGAGAAGAAAATTTTTCGGTCGCTATCCGGATTCGAACCCGGGACCTTTGAATGAGAGGCCAACACCGTAACCTCTAGGCCACGAGAGCCCCCTTACCGAGTTTAGAATAAAACTTTTGAACAAATATGAAGGTATACTATTATTTTATGAAGATAGGGATGATGCATGTGAAGAACTGTGGAGGGCCATAAAAGAAGAATATGTCACCACCACGGAAGAAGTTCTTGATGGACCAGAACCATCTGAAGAGTGGATTCAAGAAAAACATTGGAAGCAAAAGAGAAAGAAAAGAAGTAAAACTAAAGATGCTGGAAAAACACAGAGAAAAAGATATAAAAGTACAAAGAAAGACGAGAAAATGAGGACGAGGATACATCTAAGAAGAACAAACTGCTATTACTGCTAAAGCTCAAGAAATAGCAAAGAGAAATTACATTCGAGAACTATATCAGATCACAAAAAGACTAGCTGGAGACTTTGGAAAATCATCAGAGGGACCAGTAAAAAAGAAAGGTGGCACCATGGCAACAACTTTATTATAAGACAAAAAAGATCAATGGTCAGAACATTTTTAGGAGATTTTAAATAGACAACCCCACCAAATGAATTCAACTTTGACAAAGTACAACCAATGAGGAATTGAACATAAGTACGGACAAAATAACCATGCCGGAAACTTTAACAACAGTCATGAATATGAAAAGGAGAAGACAAAATTACCGCTGAGATGCTTAAAAGTAAGAATTGGTAAAGAAGGTATGAGATATCATTTTCGCTATTTAACGGGAGGAGCTACCCTTGAGGACCATTTTCTATGTTTGTTGCCCGAGATCAAATCTAAGTACACATATATATATAAGTTGGGCATAGTAAAATCTTTTGATACGCAATTTTATTTTGATATATATAGCTACAGCGGTTGCTATGGAAACGGCCGCCATCTTGAAAATAAGCAATGAATTTCAAATCCCTAAGGCTTTCTTATTTACTGACCAAATTTGGTGAGAGTATACCTAAACGAGACCCTATCCAGTATCAGCGTAACAGCGAGTTTTTTTCAATAAGTGCAAAAGAACAAAAATTATGAGAATTTTCCCAAAGTGTAAAAAGACTTCTAAATTTCAGTTGCGTAATCGCTTGCCAATGGAAAAGTGTTCATTTTTTCGCAAATATCTTTCTGTTACATCGATGGCAGCCTTACCATCTATGTTTCCTGAAAGTTTCATGTCAAAAAGATGAAAACTAAGGAAGGAGTAGGGAAAAAACTGCAAAAGAAAATGATAGTTTGCGAAAAACGACAATTATTGTGAAAATTTACTATATTGACATATATCTTAACCCATCCTCATGTTTTCAAAGACAATTCACGAGGAGAATAAAGACTTTCTCAATTGTTTCCATGCTATTTTGAGACAAAGAAGAACTGGTTGATCTTCAAAAATCAGCCAACATCTGAATGGGCATAGCCTGACCCAAAATCGGCAAAATCAAGGGTCGCTCTTCCCCTTAACTAAATGACTAAATTCTTACTTTTAAGCATCTCAGAGGTAGTTTTGTCTTCTCCTGGGTTTTTGTTCCTTTTCGTTCTCATGATTATTGTTAAAATTTCCCGCATGGTTATTTTGTCCGTACTTATGTGGAAAGAGACCAAGAGAAAGACCAAAATTGAGGTACAAAGACACCTGCAAAAACAGCTTATCTAAGCTTGGAGTAGATGTTTGCATCTGGGAAGAAATAGCTGAAGACAGGAAAACATGGAGGAAAATGATAAAGGAAAGAACTATAATGCTAGAGAGCAGCTTTAGAAACAACCAGGCTGAGAAGCGCCAACAACGAAAGGAAAACAGCGGACAGAGCTTCGATCTACGACACTGACATGCAAGCACTGCGACAGAATCTGCACTTCAAACATAGGAAGAATTAGCCATGAAAGAAGCTGCATGAAGAAAACCTTGAGACCATCTTAAGCTAAATTGACCGTCTGCATAGACAAAAAGAGCCATATACTTATGTTCAATTCCTCATTGGACATTTGCACAATATGAGAGGCAGCGTGGCGAAATCAAGTGCTCATCAAAACAATGAAATTATTTTTTTAAAGTTCTTTTTCATGCTCAACATCTATAATTATGTCCATTTAAAAACAAATTTCATATTTGTGTGGATTTTACACCCAAAAAAATAAATCAAACATCTACTGTACTTATTTCTCCTCCATTTTTGTGTTTGTTACTAAATTCTTGTAACACTTCTAATCTCTGGCACTTACTAATATATATATGACCTTATTGTGTTGCAAGTGTCATAAAACTCTTACTAAAACTAAACTAAAAAAGACACGAAATAAGTAAATTTCCAGTTTACAAGGACACTCAAGCTTTGGAAATCACCAAATGTTGGCAGCCATTTTCTTGTTAATTTTACCTTTGAAACCAGGTGACCCTCACCCCATTTAATCGCAAATATCTCTATTTCTATTCAAGATAAATGGAAGGATGTTTTTGTTTTTTTATGCCAAGTGCAAGACAAATAAGCAAGCTTTATGATGATGATACAAAAATTGAAGAATGCCCGATTGACATCACGTCATGACAAGACACGTATGTGGGTAAGTGTGACAAGACACGTATGTGGGTAAGTGTGACAAGACACGTATGTGGGTTAGTGTGACAAGACACGTATGTGGGTAAGTGTGACAAGACATGTATGTGGGTAAGTGTGACAAGACACGTAGGTGGGTTAGTGTGACAAGACATGTATGTGGGTAAGTGTGACAAGACACGTATGTGGGTAAATGTGACAAGACACGTATGTGGGTAAGTGTGACAAGACACGTAGGTGGGTTAGTGTGACAAGACACGTAGGTGGGTTAGTGTGACAAGATACGTATGTGGGTAAGTGTTGCACTAAGTCTTGTGTAGTATGTAATGTTTTGCAAGACAATAAACTCAGCTGCTTCTTTACAATGATAGAACATACATACGGTCAATCTGAGGACTGCACATGCAGGCCTATTTTATAAGGCACGCTGATCAAAGGGCATATTATGGAATAAATTACAGGTTTGTCATAAATCATAAATGTGATACCGAAATGGTTTGTTCATAACAATAATGACGAACTTCAGTTTCATCCCATACATTAATATACTGATCATTCACATAATAAATGCTTTTCATTAAGGAGACTCTTTTCATTATATATATATACATGAATTCAAAGTTCATTTACAACAAATAGTCCTAGAAACATATCTAACGGTTTGTTCACAACAATGACAACAGACTTCAGTTTGGACCCAAAAATCAGTATCTATTTAATTTTGTCTGTCATTCAGATTGATGCTTCTATTTAATGAGACTCTCCTCACAATAAGCATATGTACAAGAACTCAAAGTGCATATTTATTTACACTGAAAAACCCTCAAAAATAAAAATATAATATAATGAGAAATAAAATAAATAGTTCGCTCATAACAATGACTACTGAAGAAAAGTACAGATTGAAATACAAACCAAAATATCAAAATAATAAATATCAAAACATCAGATCATCAAAAAAACATGACATATTTCCTTCTGTTTGTGACATTTTATAAAAAAATTTTGATTTGGGCCCAATGCCCTTTACGCCCATTTCATAACATTCCTTGGTGGATTTTTACTGAAAACGTCATAGGCACAAAAGCTAAATTCGAAGTTTCCAAGGACACTGTAACTTTGGAAGCCACCCAACTTTGGAGGCCTTTTTCTCACCAATTTTACATCACACATGGAGTAACCCCCACCTTGTTCGATCACAAATATCTTAACTTTTTTTCAAGATAGATATATGTATTTTTGTTATCAAAAACAAGATGAATAAGGACAAAAAGGTTTAAGATAATACCAATGATGCCATATGCTCAAAATTTTACGAGCGCCTGATTCCGTCGTGTTGTGACACAATTAAGCAGCATAAAATGCAATTCACATCACAATGGGCTGCCAAAAGTTGTGAGGATTATGCAATAGAAACAGTAGTGAGGTTGGGCAAGAAGTCTCTGTGATAAAAGACACAGCAGTGTGCAGTCCACGGCTGTTCAGTTCTACTATCCTTGCGGAGCACTTAGTTTAACCCGTCCGCTGACCTCCCGGGGTCATAAATCCCACCTGACAGTCGGGCCACGCATCGCTTCCTGGCCGATAGAGTTAACCGATTTTGGGTAGAAGTCTGTAATTTTCACTTGATTTAGACCCCTGTAAATGTCCTCTCTTATCTATCACTATGGGTGTGTGAGGTATCAAATGAAAGCCCAGACTCTCCCCAATAACCTGCATCCTTTACTTTGGTTCTAGTGCTAATCGAGTAGGCCTACACACACTGCCTCTGTACTTAACCCTACCTTGCGGTGCACGTATTTCTCGGATTGCTACAAAGATCAGGATTTTTTTCCATTCGTGAAAGGCAGATTGTTATCCTTTTTTTATCTGCCGTATCAAGAGTCAGTAAGTTGAGTAAGGAGGTTATTTGTGAAAAAATTGTTTAGATTCACTGGAAAACTTTAACATGACGGCGAGTTTTGTTACTTCACCCGCTAATATTTTCCCGGCCGCGGTGCTGCCCCACACGGTATTCACCCGAGGTCCCGCTTTCACTTTCCCCAATTCTTTATCGACAAGTGTTAGGAGAGTCTGCTACAAGAGGGAAAATGGAACACTCCGGGCACAGCGGATAAAATACCGTCCAGACCGCTCACTTAGTTTTTCTTCCCCGGTTCCTCCCCGACCATCCTCACCACCCTGCCTGCCCCGCCCGACAGCCCAGCACGTAGTCATAAATCACTTGTCAGAGGGGTTAATTGGGGTGACCTCAGTGCCACTCCTCCTGTGACGGGGCAGTAGTAAATAGGGCGTTTAAGTGCGAATTGAAAGCCTCCTAACTCTCAAACTATAAATGCTTCAAGGCCGATTGAGATTTCATTGTTATTGTAACCTGCTATGTTTGACCTGTAAGCCGGTATAACTTGTTTTCTTGCAAGTCCGATTATATCAGTTTTACAAGGGATTTGAGTAAGTCTGTGATTTTTAAACTGGCATCTTCAATGCTCAGAACTTTTTCAGTTTGGATTTAAATATTTCAATCCGGCCCCCCAACGATTTAAACAGAAATTCATGTATCAATTGTGGTGACAATTTTCATTTACATGTGCAAGTTTCAAGTGCACTAAGTTATTCTATGATTTTCTGTGATTTAAAAAAAAAAACCCAACCCACCACTCTGAACATTCATCCTTGCTGTTTTTAGTTTTCTTGCCTCTACTACATCTGATTTTCGTTGTCATTTTTAACAATATTTTTGTCATGGAGTGCCACACTCAACATGGTCATAGGGTGGGTATTGTGCTCAAACATCATCGCCTTCTTGAGGAGGCTGCACATGATGATATAGATCTACAGCTGGCCCATGATATAGATGTACAGCTGGCCCATGATATAGATGTACAGCTGGCCCATGATATAGATGTACAGCTGGTCCATCAATCTATGGAGAATTGCACGCCTGGAATATGACAAAATGTGCATATCTACAATCTACGGCACTGAAAAAAAATAGGGGAACATTCAATTGTTACAGGGCTGTCAGGCTTTGTCAGATAATCCACGAGAAGCAGAGAGATTTTTTGAGAGGGAGGGTTCTAGTGAACATGACCAGCTGTCAGAGTTTGAGGAGCTTATTCCAAGGTGAAGTCCTGCCTGCTCTGAATTTGATAACATCCTCAAACAACACAACATCACACCACAGGCCTACCCCAGCTGTTCATTTATAGGAAACCACTGCCATAAATACATCACAGCCCATGTGCACAGACAGCTAGCATCATTTTTAGCAAAAAGAACAGTGGCATGTACACGAAATTAAAGCATAATAATAGACACCGCATTTGTTCTGAGAGAGAAATTTGTTCACGTAAAAGACACCTTCAAAGACATCCACACAATAATTGCACATGGAAAGCCTATCACTTTAGAGAGAATACCACATATTCAGTCATGCGTCACACGATGTATGTCTTTATACAGAAACATATTTGGCAAATAAAAGGTCTTGAGTCGATAGTGCCGTTATAAATCATGTGCTACTCAATCAAAATCAATCAAAAGAAAAGGTCATCCCCAAACAACATATCCTTGAGAAACACTGCATTCCTTGGATACCAAAATATGGGTTTGGAATGGCCTTCCATGGTGAGCAAGGGGGTGAGCTCATTCATGCAAGCGTGGCCTAGCTGGAAAGACGAGTAGCAGCCATAAAAGACAAAGAAAAACATGTCAAAACAATCATGCAGCCACAACACATCCAAACCTACCCTAAGCTACTCTGTCGTGTGCACCACCCATCAAAAGGCGAAAGCTTACAGCAGAAAAATGAGATAATTCCTCCAGTCCAGCAATATTGTGTTCTTTTTGTTTATTTTGTGTTTAGATTGTGTTTTCATAAGTGTATTGGCAAGGAAAGATCTGTTCTGTAGTTACATGTATCGTGGATATCGCTATGAAAAAACAAGGTTGCAAAGCAAGAGTATTGCAAAAATCTACTTCAAACCTGAATAATTACGTATCCAGAAGCTTCTTGCATATGCCCCTTTGTGAGTATAAATTTCATTATGTTCTCAGTCCTGTGTGCAAATTTGATTGAATTCGTTGGGGGCAATCACATTTAAATTGATGTTTATAATTGATTACCCATGACACATTTATCAAATTAAGTCCCCTTTTTGAGAACTTCACAGCTTTTAAGTGTAATGTACCATGGTCTTCCGATTTCTTCTTTTTCTTCCTTAATATAATATATGTTGAATATTTACGTGGTCTTTATTAAAATATTCATCTTACATTAGCTTTGGCTCACAGTGCTGGTAAACTTTGCAAAAAATACAAGAGCGCTGCCGAAGTTCGGCTGATAAGGGAAATCCCCGGCGGCGCTGGTAAATGACCCCCTGACCTGGGGAGGTGCGGGCTTGCTTGCCTCGCTCCAGCCGAAACTAAATGGGCGCTCCAAACCTGCTGTAGAACATGCGGGGCCAAAAGTACAAAAGTTCAGAAGGCAAACCAGAGCAGATATTTTTGTGTAAGGCGTAAACGTGGACACGGATAGTGCAGACACACATCCCTGTGAAATGTGCAACAATTTTATGTGTACAGAGCATATACCGCTCAAGGAGAAATAACTCTATCTGCTACGCAAAAAAGTATTGAAGTTGAAGAAAGTTAACACCGCTGGAGACCTTACCATAGTCGATCTCTGATAGCGGCAGATATGTACCTCCAAAAACAAAGAAAGAAAGATATAAAAGAATGTTTTTACCATCTAGCATAAGGCTTTTGTCAGAATGAGCATAGATGTGTGTTGCTCTTAGAGTATGTATCTGTATATAACTCCAAAGGTCTAGTATTTAAATTCCTGAATGTGGTTGAATGATGCATTTGATGTAAATGTACATTTTGTCAGCTTTACTTCTCCTTTCATATTGAATTTTAATGAGAGTAATATATATGATTTAAATTTTTTTTATGTATACCTGCATGTGTTTTTATAGTCCTGTACAGCCAAGGAAGATTTCCCTCTGGGATAATAAAGTACTATCTTATCTCTTATCTTATCTCTGATAGGAAACCATTGTCACCAATACTTGAAGCGCCCAGTGTACACAAACATCACAAAACACATTTGCACACACACAGCAGCAGCTCTTACATCTAACCAAAACATCATAGATGTAGCCCACGCAATCAGACAAATCTGATTTATTAAACAACAGCTATGCTGAAGTACATCACCTCATCTCTTACACATAACATACAAGAAACTGAGTTTGACATTATAGGAACAGCAATTTGTGCATATTTGAAGCTATACAGACGACTATCTCCAAACGCAGTCACCCCCAAACAACTCATATTAGAGCACCACTGTCTGCCTACTATTTAGGGATATGGGTTTGGCTTGGGTTTAATGGGCAAGCAGGGTGGCGAACTTATGCACTCCAGCATCGCAAAACTGGAGAAGAAGACAGTGGGAAGTAAAGAAATGGAAACAGCTGAAAGCTGTTACCGAAGCCCACAGACCGCAAAATGCGTCCACTCTTAGGCAGCAGCTTTGAAAGGAAAAAAAGAGGAAGACAACTAGCCTGTGACACTTTTGCAATTATTGTTATAAGTACATGTATTCATATGTTATATGTGTTTGTGAATGTGAAATCAGCTCTAGCTGTGAGGAGACAAAGAGGAAACTCTTGTTTCATGGAACTGGATAGCAGTGAACCTTCTACAAGTTCCATATTTGTGAAAACTGTGAGGAAACAACGAAAAATCTTTCATTTAATTAATTGGACAGTAGTTAATCTTCTACAATTTCCCCATTTCTGAATGAATCAAACCAAAAGTAAGTGTTTCTGAAAGCTCATCTTGTCACTGATGTATACCACTGATTATTTTAGAGATCTGGTGTACACATTTTAAAATATCCAAACATTTAAAAAGTAGACCTATGAAACAATTTTCCCCATAGATGCCCTCAATTGCACCCATGTTTTAAAGGGTACCCTGTTAAGAATACCAATACAAAGTTCTTTGCTGTACAGTCCAAGAATGCCTCTCTCTGTTGATAGTAATTTCACGTTGATTTGTTCATGGGAAAAGCCACAATGAAGCACTTAAACGGTATAAAAATTGTTAAGTCACAACAGTTCACTCGTAGAGCAACGGTCAAAGTGACCTCCGTGACCACCCGGGCGCCGCGGCATGGTTGACCGGGTCAACTCCTCTGGTAACTAAGTGCTCCGCTCGGGAACAGCCGTGAGTCGACACCTAGGTCTCTGCTACCATCTCCTCAGCCTGAACATATGCTGGCAAAGAATGCAGCGAGGTCACTCGGTGCAGTCTGAACAGCACCAGCTTGAGGTCCTCCACCTGTGAGAAGGACAAAAATAGCCCCATAGAATTACGTCTGTTCAGACTATTTCTCTCTCTGTACATTTGTACATCACAACAAATTTCTGTATTTGTACAATACACCATAAACGATCTCTGTATCTTCAAACCTGCACCAAATATGCTCTCCCACAGGATTTCTTTATCAGTATATTTGATAATTTTAGCACCAAAAAAAAAAACCCCAACAAAAATTTCAAAAAAGGGGGGAAAAATTTAAAAATTACAGAATGTTTCTATAAAAGCACACTTGGACTTTCTTTTTTTAACGCTAAGAATTTTCCTTCTGTACTAATGTCAGAAAGAAAGAAAAAAAAACCCCCCAAAACAAAACAAAAAATCTCACAACAAATTTCTGACGATGCTTTACCTCTTGTGCCAAAGCACAAAGATCAGTCCCTGTTTTGGAGAATGGATAAGAAGCAAACGTTTTTCTATTTTCTTGTCCTTTCGACGATTTTAAAGGTACAGTATAATCTACTTATATCGACAGCCGATGTATCGACATATTTTCCAATTACAAAATTTTTCCTTCAATATCTTCACTAAACTAAACAGTAAACAATTCCTCTTATCTAGACTTTTTTTCGGCCCACTCTGCTTTATCGACATGCTTCCTGGGTAACTGGCGAAACCCACAAACATAAATGGGAGAAAAAGCTAACGCAATAGTTCTTCATTAAGTCAGCATACCCGCCAAGTAGCCTATTCAACACACCAGGCTTTAGTAGGTCATGTAGGGCCTATATAACGTAGTCTCCAACGCAGTACAGGGCCTCACAAACATGGGCGTCTCGCGCGTTGGGCATCACCTCCCTACCCCCACTCCTGTTCCCAGTTTGTCGCTGGCAAGTGCCACGGTCAGCGAGTCAGTGCCTCGCCTTTCCATTTTCCCTAGCAAGCGGCCATAAATAGGCCTTACAAGGATGCTACAACAAAGTTTGCGCTTGTGTTTAGTGGGCACCTCGTGTTGCTCGGTCTTTGATACCATAACTCCACCCCACCCCCCCTCCCCTCTTGTTAGTTTCTCTGTGTAGTTATGTAAGAATCAAGGGAAGCAACCAGCTTAAAATAAGTAGCGTTGTCTTTTTACCGCTGACTTCCCCTTGTCTTTTCTTCCTCTTTGGCATTATATTTCATTTATCGACAATTTTATATATGGACATCAAATCCACTTCCCAGAGCATGTTGACATAAGCAGATTATACTGTAAATGGTACAGACTACCTGGTGATTGTGATAAGGATGAAAGATGGAAAGCCCGGTAAGGAGTTCCCGTACATCAAAGTCAATGACAACTTGGCTGTTGAAAATGACAGTGAGAAAAGTAGCCTGGTTAAGGCCAAGCTACCTAAGCAAAGGGTGGTGTAGGGCAACCGTAGCTTTGCGGTGGAAAATTTAGTTTTAGGTAAGAGTTTTACGGCATTTGCAACACAATATGGTCATATAAGCACCAAAGATTAGAGCTGTTACAAAGAAGTAACAAACCAAAGTAAAGGAGGAGAGATAAGGATGATAGATGATTAATAGGAAAGAAGGAGCGAACCACCTCCGACCATCCGCTAACCACCTGCAAGGTGCCCTCCAACCACCTTGCTGATGCATAGAGGACTTACCCATCCCATCCTGATCAGCTGAAGCAGAAGGTCTCTCCACAAGCCCTGGTCGTATACCTCATAGTCTAAAGCCATACAGATGACCAGGTCGGTAGCCTGAGGAGGGCAAGTTTGTTTTTGAATTATTTTAATGCTCTTTTTGACCTAAATAGGCCATTGCAGAAGCCATAAGTCATCTTAACGTTTAACACATTACACCTTAACTCGCCCGCGCCGACCTAGCGTCTTTAGAAACGAAGTCTCGCCTTGAAAAGCGGCACAATTGAGTTCAAAAAAGGATATAACGATGGATTAAAAAAACAAACAAGCATATGACAAATCAGATGACTCAGATATTGATGATAACATTATAGCAAGAGTTTGGGGCGATTCAGACGTAGAAAATTTAGAATTTAGATCTAGGGCCCGACCGCGAGGCTGAGAGCGAGAGTGACGGGTCGGACACCCTGATTGAGCTAAAGTGAGAACATTCCCAACAGTTTGCGCATACATTGATAAAGTTATATTTTTCTGAAAGTACATTCATTTTTCTGCTTAACTTTTTTTCTGGATTAAAAAAATTTGGTTTAGTATTTTCAAAATGTGTCTTTTAAACGCTTGTATTCACAGGAGGTGGGTTCCTTCCCCTTGCTTAGGATCTAACAATGGACTTCCCGTCCAGACCCTTAGGTTGTAATGTGTTAATTCTTCTACATTGCTTGAGAAATATTCTCCTCTGCAGACGTAGTAATCATTGTCAGACATTGAAAGACGAACTATTATTAAGTAAGTCACTGTAAATGGAACACATGCAGTATGCAGACCGTCGAGAGAATAATACATAGGGAGGTAATGTCAGGTCAGACCAAAGTAAATATTACACATACATCAGACAAAGAGTTGCTGTCTTCTTGGTTAGGGACCACAATCTCCGAGGCACACCCCTCCCCCCCCCCTGTTTAGTATAGGTTCAAAGCTGTGTAGATAAAGGCAAACCCAAATCCCCAAGGGCATTAACTATACTGCCCTGCGCTCACAAAACGCCTTTTTCAAAATTCACACCAATTTCGAGAAATCAACAATTTTCAGGTTTCTGTTGAGCATAGTAATAATAGTGAATAACATTCTCTTCAGGGTGTGAGATCAACAGTTGATGCACTGTGCAAAATAGTTAAGACGATATCAGAAAACCGAAAATTGTTGATGTCTCGAAGCTGCTGTGAATAAGAAAAAGGCATTTTGACAGCTTAGGGCAGTAAAATAATTGACAGCATCTGTTCACATAAAGATACTAATGCAATAATATGCAAGGCAGTGTGGTGAAATCAGGCGCTCGTCAAAATAATCAAAGTGAAGGAACTGGCATTTTTCTGGTTTGTGAATTTTTTTCGAATTTTCGTTTTCTGACTAAACATCATTCATGCCCATTAAAGAACACATTTCTGTGTGGATTTTTCTGAAAAACGTTGACTAAAGGCACACCAAAAAAAATTAAAAATTTCCGTTTCCACTGAATCCCAAGCTAAGGAAATAACTAATCTTTGGCAGCCATTTTTTCACTAATTTTACCTCTGAAACCAAGTGAACCCAACCTCCCTCATTCACAAATATCTCGACTTGTATTCAAGAAAAATAGATATTTTGTTTTCATCCAAAGCAAGACAAATGAACAAGCTTTAAGATGATACCAATGACTCTACATTAGAGTTGGGGAGAGCGGACAGACGGTTTCGTTACTCGTGGACTCAGTCTGAGCGAGCGGGTAACTGACAGCCATGCAAGCGGATTGCGAACCCTTAAGACAGTTAGTTTTTTGGGTCCGCTCCACAATTTTACTCTCTCAGCGAGCGGACTGCGGACCTCAAGCTAGTTCGTTTCTTGGGTCCGCTCCACAATTTTATTCATTGAGCGGGCGGGCAAATGGACGAAATCTTGCAGACGAGATACTCGACGCGAGGTGAGGCTCATTGTTTGGAAATTAGGCCTAGTGTTTCAAGCAACTAGCGGTGCCACAAGGAGTGAGAGAGGCTGGTGACGTAGTACTATGTGTGTAACCTTTCACCTTGTGTGTGGGTCACACTGTGTATTTTCCAATAATCGGGAAGGCGATGTTTAAAGAATTCCCAAAGGCCTTTTTATTAATTGGGTGGGGGGGGGATGTGAAATTTCCTCCATGAATGTCTAGCTACAACAATGTGGGGCAGGAGGCTAATTTGTTTTTGTTTTTTTATTTTCGGGGGGGGGGGAGTAGTAGGCTTAAGCAATGAAAGCAGTCATTCCCCATCCGTCTGCCTGAAAGCATGAAGCCTCTCTCCATCCGCTCGCTAAGCGAACTGTTGTCTCTGTCCGATGTATAGCGAGTAGCGAACGAATCTTCACATGCGGACAGCTCGTTACCTGTCCGCTAATTTGCGGGTAGGGCCAGCAAGTAGTTCGTTACTCCCCGACACTGATTTACCGAGCCCGACCCAACTCTACTCCACATGCATAAAAATTGACGAAAACCTGATTCCACTACTCTCAAGCTTAAGTACCGCTTTGAAATGCTCAAAAAATGTTTGCTTTGAACTTCTTAGGACTTACCGTAACTCATTTTCTACTTGAGTTTGCTTGTCGCTCACGTTCTCTCGCTCTCACTCTATCTCTCTTTCTCTCTCTCTTTCTCTCTCTCTCTCTCGCACAAGCACGCACACACACACACACACACACGTACACTTAGGACTTACCGTAACTCATTTTCTACTTGAGTTTGCTTGTCGCTCACGTTCTCTCGCTCTCTCTCTCACTCTCTCTCTTTCTCTCTCTCTCTCTCTCACAAGCACGCACACACACACACACACACACACACGTACACTTAGGACTTACCGTAACTCATTTTCTACTTGAGTTTGCTTCTTGTTGTTTGAGTGCATGTTTTTATGACACTATTGACACCCATTTGGTCTCACCTTTTTCTGGTGCTTGTGTGAGGCCAACAGATTGGTGAGCAGCGCGGTTTTATCGGCCTGTACAAAACTCTCCATAGACAACAGCACCCCCAGGCTCTCCAGCTCACACAGTAGATTCATCACCTCCAGATCACAACTGGGAGACGGGGAGACGGACAGGACAAAAAATGTATTGTAATCAAATATCATTGTCTAGTAGTGCTTCACGGTAAAATGATGGAAGCATGAAAATATTCAACACTTTATAATCACTCACAGACGAAGGATCAAAGCCTAAAATACTTTCCACATTAGCACAGACCACAGCCAAACTGAAACATATGTGGAGAAACAGGAATATGGCCCAAAGCTCAAATATCAGGCTTTTGCACTCCTTAATGACATTAATATTTCTATATATATATATTCATTTATTGTTATATGGTTCATAAGACGCATGCTACGTATCCCATGGACAGCTAGAAAAACAAACGAAGAAGTCATGGTTGAAGCAAATTATAGAAAACAAATTATCACGAATATAAGAAAACGACAGGCAAATTTCTTGGGACACACAATGCGGAAAGAAGCATTAGAGAATATTGTCACAACAGGAAAGTTTGATGGAAAGAGAGGCAGAGGCAGACAGAGGGAAAAGATACTGGACAAGATGACAACATGGTTGGGAGCAGCAAGAACAACAGACACCATTGCTGCAGCGAAGGACAGGGTGAAGTGGAGGTCCATGGTCGCCCACGCCAGTCGGCAAGGCACCGGATGATGATGATATATATATATACGCATGCGAGTCCTGGACCCTGACAGCAGACATAGAGAATAAGAGCTGTTGAGATGAGATGTCTCCGAAAACTGCTTAACATCCCATACACAGACCATGTCACCAATGAAGAAGTGAAAAGACACATGAGACATGTACCCACCTTACACCAACCTCCTATGATTGCTCAAGCAACACAGGCTGAAATGGTATGGCGAAGGAGAGGCAGATAGAAGAAGAGACAGGAGGATAACATCTGAGAATGAACAGCCATGGAGCTGAGGGACACTCTGGGGAAAGCAGAGAGCCGAGAGGAACAGAGGAAATTTGTTGTCATCTGTTTAGTTTAGTTTAGTATGGAGTTTTACGGCGCTTGCAACAGCATAAGGTCATATTAGTTTAAGTAGAGGTTTTACGGCACTCGCAACTGCATAAGGTCATATGAGCGCCAGAAGATTAGAGGTGTTACAAGAGAGTAACAAACATAAAAAAGGAGGAGAGATAAGGACGATAGATGTTTGATAGGAAAGAAGGAGAAAACCGCACCAGAGCACCCGCCAACCACCCACATAAGGTCGTATGAGCGCGCGAAACACAAGTTAGTTTTATTCGCAACAGTTCACTGTACAGCTAGGCTCGGGTCAGTAGTTTGATTTTAAAATGTTAAAATACTTAAAATTCGGTGTAAACATACTTTCAATCTAAAACAACTTTCCTAAATAACATTAAAATTTTTAATAATTTAATTTCACTCTATAATTTCCCACAAAGGCCAATGGCCTTCATAAAAGCTAAAATTCTGTGGGGAACAACGACGGAAAAAATGTCTAGCAATTTTAAAGTATTTCCTTCGGGTCTCTCTGAAGTCTAGACATTCAGTTAAAACGTGTCTAATGGTAAAATCTGTGGCGCATCTGATACAGAACGGCTTCTCTTCTCCCAGAAGGAGGTATTTGTGTGTTAGGGCCCTGTGTCCGACGTGTAATCCAGTAAAAATAACTTCGTCTCTTCTGGAGTGGCCTGAAGGATTTCGAGGTCCCAGTTGTTGTGCAGTTTGTTATTTGTTCGTTTTTTTCAATGGCTCTCCCACAGATTGGAAGTTTAGTTTTTTACTTTATTTTTAAAGTCAGTCTGTGGGAGAGTGTTCGTCGTTGATCCCAACAGAAGGGATAAGGATTTTTTCCCCAGGTCATCTACCAGTTCGTTTCCTCTGATGCCGAAGAATTTTGTGAGTTTTTCGTTGTTTTAGAATTTGTTTATGGTTTCTGGGTTTGTTTTAAAAATGCAGTCGTGTGCTGAGTTCTCTGGTGTTGAGCTCTGTTTAATTGCGTATTGTAGTGAGAGTTGTGTGCGTCTGAGTGTGAGTGATGGTATATTTGCCTCGACCTGGAGGCTCTCCACCGGAGAAGTGCGGAAAGCCCCCAGAGCGAGGCGGAGTCCTTGGTTTTGCACTGGGTCTAGCATTTTTAGGACGTGTGGTTTTGCCAATCCGTAGACTTGACAGCCGTAGTCAAGTCTGGATCGGACATGGGGGATGTACAAGTGGAGAAGGTGTTCTGAGTCCGGGATTCAGAATCTGGGAACATCGATTGGCGAACCCGTCCCAGCGTGCTCTTTTGTCATCTGTCAGAGGTGACCCAAAGGATGACAAATCTACAGGAGTAAAAGCAGAATCACTCGCAGCATTTCTGCATGAATGATAACTTTCCCGTCCAGTCATGTGACACAGCACAGCTCTGCACCAAGCCTGAGAAGTCCAGTCCAGTCCAGTCCAGTCACACCAATGTAGTCTGACTACCCGTGACCAGCAGAAAAACTAGCGACTGCCAGGGGAGTAGTCTTTTATTCCAGACCACTTGACCAGATATGGTTCTTTGCACTGCTCTGCTGTAAGCTGACAAAACGCCTTATCTTTATTCACAGCAGTCTCGAGAAAGAGAGGCTTTCTGTCAGCGAAACCAATAAAAAACAGCGTTCTTTAGAAATTTCCATTCTAATTTATTAAAAAAACTAGCCCGTTTCACTTGGATTTTTTTTCCACACAAGTAGGGTAACAGATCAGGCTTTTGATTTAGCAAAGAAAAAAAGTAGGCGCCAAAATGAAAAAAGGTGTTTTGTCAGCTTACGGCAGTGTTGGCTGTACAACTTCTTAGCTTTTCCAGTATTTGGACATTGCTTCTCTGACTTTTAGTCAATATACAATACCCCCATCTCTTGCCATTCTGCCGGCTTGCATTGATTTGGTTACAAGCCCGATTTCTACGTCCTGTTCCCATTTTCTGTTATGTCTTCCCCTTCCTCTTGTTGTTGTTGTTGTTGTTAGCGATCCAGTAGCATCTGAGCGTTAACTCTTCTGCATGATGCCATTCGGTAATAGTTGCATGTTTGTTCTAATTGTTGTCGTGAGGAGTAGAGGCAATTAGATGTGTGGGGTAGCTGGGAAGAAAACATCCCCTTAAATCAGTTAGTTTTCTACAGAAGAACAGATGATGTTCCACTGTCTCTGAGGGGTAGTCACATAGTGGGCAGGCAGCAGACTGCTTTACTCCAATTCGGTTGAGATGTTGGTTGAGGGGTACATGTTGTGTTCTAAGTTGGAAGATTATGGATTGATCTCCCCTCCTCAGCTCATTGATTGGATCTTTGACCAGTGGTTTATTCATGTGGCCATACATCCTCCTTCCTGTCGTACCTGTGGCCCAATCATTCATCCACTCTTCCTTGAGGTTTGACTTGATCATTTGGCAGCAGGTTCCCCTTCCTCTTCTGCCTCCAATCTATACTTCCAGAATATTCTTAGCAGGTGATTCATGGTGTTTGATATTAGCAAACTAGTGGGGGGTGGGGGGGGGGGGGGTGGAAGAAAGAAAACAAAAAAGAAAACACACTGAGCCATACACCTCCTCACCTCACATCTTCCAGCTGTTTCCCCAAAAGCATCTGGCAATCCTCCTCACTTGCCGTTTTTATAAAACAAAACAATGATCGCTTCTTCGACCACATGTTCAGGGACGAGTTATTCTGAAAATAAACGAAGAACAAACTGGTTTCTGTTTGTTTTTTTTAAAAAACCTAACCCAAAACCACAAATCAACATCGAATATGGTCTGAATACCAGAACAAAAGCCGGAAAGTCTCAAAATCATCCAGACTTTTTAAAGAAAAACTCAACTCAATTGTGAATTAGATATGAAGTCTTCAATACCGTTATTTTTATTTTTTTTTTTTTTTTTGGGGGGGGGGGGGGGGTGTTAATGTTATTTAATAGCACTTAAATTTTTTAAAATATATATTATATAGAAAGAATCATTCTGTGGTCACAGAGAATTTCCGTCAGCCCAAACAGTACAAAGACCGACTTGCTCAGCTGAGCTTTCGATTTTGTTGGTTTTAGCAAGCGTTTTTAGTTTTGTATTAATAGAGGTTTTATGGCCCTCGCAACTGCAAAAGGTCATATGAGCGCCAAGGGGTGAATGTCAATAGAGAAGTCTTTACAGGGAATCAGACTTACTCTGCTCACCTCTCTAGCTTCAACAGCACAAAGTCTGCTTCGACTATCAAGGCACCCCGGAAATAGCGGGTCACAAGAGAGCGGCAAACATACAAAAGAAGTAGAGGAAAAAATTCTGACAGTAAGGATGAGGAAAGAAAAAGCAGCAGTTCCCTGTTGCAATTCCAGCATAGTTATGAGCATGACATTGATGAATCGGCCCATTTACAATTCTACTGTGCAACAGAACATGGTAATGTCCCCCCTTTGGGGATGGCCTGAAGACACTTCAGTCAGTAGCACCGCCTCGACGGGTGTAGTGAGCGTTTTATGGCATTTGCAACACAACTAGGTCATATAAGTGCTGAAGAAAAGAGTTTAACCCTATCCGTACATCGTGTTTTACTATCGTATCCATACGACGTGGGGAACACTGTGCCACCGCTTTCCAAAGAGGAAATTTATTCGTTAATCCGGTCCGTACTCTTTGAATAGCAGTCTGTCAAAATGATTTTTTTAAAAGAAATACTGAAAGTATCAAAGAGAAATTTGCACTAGAAGTATTCTAAAATAAGAAGAATACAACCCTGGGGGGTATAAAACGACCACAGGGCGTATGGACAGGGTTAACGAAGACACACACAAAAAAAAGGAGAGATCAAGACGATAAGATGTTTGTTGATAGGGAAGAAAGAGTAAACCACACCAGAACACACACCAACCACCACCTTGCTCAGCTGAGCTGTCGTTTATGAGGCGTCATTTCAACAGGTCGTTATACAAGTCATAGTTTACAGCAGATCATAACGATAAAGAAGTTTTCAGCACATCATTACGATAAAGAATTTACTTCTCATCCTTATGATATTGAAGTTTACTGTACCACCGTATGATACCAGACCATCAATGATTTATTTATAGAGGCACCAGCCATCCACGTCCATGTGCTGTGTTAGCCTCTTTTTCCTGTATTCGGATTAATAATATCTTTTTGCCAATTTATTGGTTCTGTTTCTATGTACCCCATATCTATGGTTCTCAACCTGGAAATCGCCTATAATTCGCTGTAATTGCCTCCCCCCCTCCCTCTCATCACCTCAGTGGATAACGTACTTTACATTATGTAACAAAGGTTCTGACACATCAGCACCACAACATAGATCGCAGCATATCATTATGATAAGCTAGTTTACAACACAATGGTACGCTAAGGTAGCCTACGCCAAGTTGGAACCATAGAATAGTTGAATGAGTCGTTACCACAGCGACCACACTTTCCAAGGAACCGTACACATGTATAGAGCTTTGTTTGTTTCCTTGTTTGAGTAAAAAGAAGAACATCGACACAATAATAGTCATCTCGAGGAGGGAAAAATTAAGACAGACGGACAAAAACCAAAGATGGAAAAAAAAGAAGTAGGACCTACCAATGGCGCTCCAACCACTTAGCGCATATAGAGCAATAGCAACATTAGAAAAGAAACAGAGAAAACAAGAGCACACTCCAATTACCCACACCACCGTTCTATTCAGCCTTTAAAAATAAAATTTTGAAAACCACTCAGAAACAAAGCAAGCACACAAAGACATTACAGCTCTTCCAAAACACATACCACAATGCTGGCTATGTGATCCAGGCACTTGGCACTGTCCTTTGACCCAAGGAGGTAGAGGGCTCTGGAAAGGAAAAACAGCAAAGTAAATATCACAGAGAACTGGCGACGAAAAAAAAATGAGGACCTTTTTGCAAACTTGTGGAAATTGTGCAGGGATTCAAAATCGCTTCATTGACCATTTGTTTGCTCAGTTTTGCTAGATTAGATATTTTTTTCAAAAACCTTCATTTCGAAGAGATGAAAGTATTTCCCTTCACGTCAAACTCGCCTGAAACTTTGAAGTTGTTTCTCAAATGTAGTTGGTGGTACCCTGCACTTAAAAAAAGTGACCATATCATATCTCAAAATTATTGAGATTCAGGAAAGTTTTTAAAGAGTGGTGTCATCAGGAAAGGTCATTTTATGCAGAAATGCAGTACACTACAAAAAAAAAAGCAGCACATGTGGATCCTTTTCTCAGTCACCCACACACACACATATATATATATATACATATATATTGAGTTGTTTTTAAGATATACCACATTTTGTAACACAGGGTGTAAACACAGTTTGGAGAAAAAACGAATTTCTAGCACATTTTAAAACTCTGGTGAGGTACAACAAGCAGCAAAAATAACTAATAGTAGAATATTTAGACTTAAATATCATATAATCTTTTCAATGTTATCAGAAAATGGTTAAACATTGTGTTTTCTGAGGGAACTAGATTTTTGACCAAGTACGACTTTATCTTTATAGGCCTTTTTACCCTGTTGCTCAAAAATAGCTTTTTCAACAATTGGGACCTTTCTTCAGGCACACACACATAAAGAAAAGGAGGAAGCGAGATAAGACGCATACAGAATTTCACCAGAAGAAAACCAACCTCTGTATGTTGTCCTCCTCTTCGTTGTCATTTTCATCTGTCGGGAAGACGTCAAACGTGATGGTCTGTAAAAGTTACATACATCTACTGTTAATGCCTTGAAAAAAAAAATGTTAAATAAGTCTTAGAAGTTTTAAGAAATCTTCTTTGCATACTGAATATAGATCCTGGGGACAACAATAATTCGGGAGTTAAAGTAAAGAGTAAAAATCCAAGTAGCACCACTCGTTCAGTCCCCTCACCTGATCAATGTCATCGCCGGAGAGAGGCCCCATCAGCCACTTGTCCAGCAGAGCTAAGCGTATCTGGCACAGGTCCAACTCATGGAGCTCCCCAATCTGGTCCGCCAGCTCATTGATATCTGAAGTAAAAAATAAAAGTGTATATATGTGAGGTTTCGTGGTAAAATCAGGCGCTTGTCGAAAATAATGAAATGAACAACAAAAAAACAGCATTTTTTTTTCTGCCCGTTGGGCAATTGATTTTGAATTTTCTTTCTTTCTTTCTTTTTTTTTTTAGCTCAACATCTTTTATGACCAATTCGCGGGTTTAGGGGAAAACTATTCTAAGAGACATGTCTGCTGGAAAGGAGATTTGTCAATGGCCTTAACTTCCACCAAGGGACGCAATTTTTGTTAAAAACATCAGAGCCGTGGCTTTGAAAAATGTCGAGTTAACAGCCCAGAGAAAAATTATTCTATCTCCTACTTAGGAACATTTTTTGAGGAAAAGTATTATATATGTGGCAGTTCAAATACTTTTCCTACTTCAAAAAATTGCTACCCGAGGTATAAAATGAAGAAAACTATTCTAAATGCATAAGAAAGAATACTTTTCTTTTCAAATGGCTCTGCCATGAACAAAGGGAGGCCCCCAAAAAATTTCAAGGAAAAAAAAAAGGCGAAACATTTTTTCAATCCAAAGAGCAGGGGAAAAAAAAGAAAAAGCAAAACAGCTTTCTTTCTCTCCCAAACAGCCTCAACCACAACTACAAAACAGCTTTCTTTCTTTCCCAAATTGCATCAGGCACCACTACAAAACAGCCTTCTTTCTTTCTCAAATTGCATCAGGCACCACTACAAAACAGCTTTCTTTCTTTCCCAAATTGCATCAGGCACCACTACAAAACAGCTTTCTTTCTTTCCCAAATTGCACCAGGCACCACTACAAAGCAGCCTTCTTTCTTTCCCAAATTGCATCAGGCACCAGTACAAAACAGCCTTCTCTCTTTCACAAACAACCTTCTTCACCTCCCAAACAGCCCCCCTGGCGCCACCACTCACCGTGCTGTCCGGGCAAGCCCTGCTGCGCTCGCAGCACACACGGGAGGCTGTACAGTTTCTGCAGCAGCTCCTCGGGTTTCTTCAGCAAGGCGGCCGGCACCTCCTCCTCGGCCACGCCACACCGGACCAGGGCCAGCTGAGTCTTGGTCAACAGGAGGCGACTGGTCAGACGGGCGGCGGCACGCTCTGGGCGCTTCTTGTCCTCGCCCGTCTGGTGGAATAATGATGATAACAATAATAAAAATGAAAATAATAATAACGGTAAAAACTACGATAATGGTAATAATGATAATGATAATAATAATAGTAATAAAAATAATAAAAGATTACTAATAATACTAATACTACTACTACTACTAACAATAATAGATAGCATTTGTACAGCGCAAATTCCTTATCAACATGTGGAGAAGATGTCTTTTGGTGTGTTGGGTTTTTTTTTGTTTTTTTGGGGGGAGTTTCGTGAATTTCGATGAATTTCGGAAAAAAAGACATACCGGTTTTCAGTTACTACGGGATTCAAGCTATGAAAATAACCAAACTTTTGCAGCCATTTTTTCGTTAATATAATCTCTGAAACAAGGCAATCTCCACCTATTTCAAATGCAGATATATCTCAACTTCTATTCAAGATAAATTGGGGGGGGGGGGGGGGTCATCAAAATCAAGACAAATGAACAAGCTTTATGATTATACCAATAACTCAACATGTCCAAAAACTGACGAGTGCCTGATTCTACTGCTGCACGACACGTATCATATGATGCACACACACATACCTCCTGAGCCGACTGCAGCCATTTCTTGGCATAGCCAATGGAGCCCTTTAGGACCAGCACCTTCTCTTCCACTACAAGGGGAAAAAAAAAGCATAGTTCTGGAAGAGTTTATGACAAAAGGTTTTAGTTTTAGTGTAAGTTTCATGGCACTTGCAGCACAGGAAGGACATATATATATATATCCTGCTGAAGATTTAGAGGTTTTACAAGAAAGAAGCATGCAAAGAAGAGGGAGGAAAGATAAGAATGATTGATGTTTATAAGAAAGAAGAAGCAAACTACACCAAAGCAACCTGCCAAACACCCACTACTACACGAAAAAAAAACCCTGAGATAAAACAACCTATTTTGACAGTTCATCTGACGAAAGAATTCCCAGTAAAAAGAGACCTGTTCTTAGCAATTTCCAAAAGCTAATTTGACGTTGAAGTCGTAAACGAATGAGCTCGAGCCACTGCAATTGGCTAATCCGTAAAGCAGTTCCAACCGTGAGCCGCAGGAAGCAGCTTGCCGGAGATAAGGGAGTTAAGAGGAAAACTCTAAGGCAGCATCTAGCCAGTACCGCCGTATGCTGACAAAACGCCTTTTTCTTATTCAGAGCAGTGTCTAGATAAAAAGTCGTATTGTCAGCGTAACCAAGTTAAAAAAAAGAGTTTTTCAGAAATTTGAATGCTAATTTATTTTTCAAAATAGTCAGTTTCATTTTAGATTTTTTTCACACAAGCAGGGTATCTGATTGGGTTTTCGGTTTTTTTTTTAAAAAATGGAGCCAAAAATATTTTTTAAAAGGCGTTTTGTCAGCTTAGGGCCAAGTAGATATGTGGACTTTTAATGCCCAGTACCCATAGGGGGGATCGGATCGTCTGATACACAACGATAGCCCGACTCACAGCCTTGAAAACAAAAGCGTTTGTTTTTTAGGGTCACCGTCGGCTTTGTGCCACTACGGTTGCTTTTCGCACGCAACCTGGCTAGCCCCACCTGCCGAACAGATCCGTGCCAATGGGCACTAGGTACTTAAAGCATGCATCAGAATACCGTTGAGTTACAATCAGAATACTCAGTTTGTATCTAGCTTAATATTCTTATTGTTTATATTACTGTTCATTTATATCATGAGGTAACCGTGAGCCTGTTTGTGAGTGCAAGCATACTATTATTTTATTATGGTTATGCGCACAGATGTGTGTGAGTGCGTGTGCATGTGTGTGTGGGTGCGTGCGGGTGCATGTGCGTGTGGGTGCGTGTGTGTGTGTGCATGTGTGCGCGTGTGCACGTGGTGAAAAACCAAACCAATGAGCCAGGATCTGGACAAAAAAGATGCATCTTATCTTATCTTCTAAGAGTGAAGGAGGGGACAGACACTCACGGCTGGTGACATCATCCACAGTGGAGCAGCAGAAGAAGACGGCGTTCTCCACCAGCTTCAGTTTGGAGAGCACATCATTCATCTGCTGCAGGAGCAACACAAACTCTTCACTAACGCCAACGTTTGTGCCTGCGGAGTTAGCTGCACGCCTGCCCTTGTTCATGGACGAGGAAGAGGAGGAGGAGGCAGAAGCAGCAGATGCAGCCATTCTTTCCACATAGCGTTTGGTCATTATGGTGGCTGCTGCGATTACCAGATTGTCGCTGTTCACCTAGATTTGAGGAAGTATCAGGGCAAACAAAAAAAAAGCAGAATTAAATAAAAATCCTGTAACTGGATGAAATGTGAGGTGTGCTGACGAAATGAGTTACTTTTCGGATTTCAGCCTTACGGAAATTGATACATCAATTTCTTTGGTGCAGTGTGTAAAATTTGTAAGTATGGAATAATAAAAGACACGGTAGACTTAAGAAGATGGCATCAATTGAAAATGTATTAACCTGACCCTCTAGTATCTTTTTTCGCCTAATATCTCCATTCTTTGGATTGCTGTCAGCACACCTCACATAAACAGCAGATGGAGCAGATTGGTCGTCCGGGCTGAAAGCTCAGTAGAAGGATCATGAGATTTACCTTTTTTATGACTCCAGCAAAGCAACAACAAAAATTTTAAGTTCAGAGAACTTTCGGGGTGGGGGGAAGGGGGGGGATCTCAAATTTGTCAGCAAACAGCAGAAACTGCTGGCAAAGAGCTATAGGTTATCCAAATTTTTTTAAATTCTTAATTTTAGTCAATTTTAGGTGCTGTTTGGGCCCAACTCAGAAACAAAATTCTCTTAAAATTTACATCACTAGAAACATATCACCAGCCCATATTAGGCAAAATTCTATTTAAATTTGCATCATATCACCAGCCCATATTAGGCAAAATTCTATTTAAATTTGCATCACTGAAAACATTAATATGTCCCACCCCCCCCTTCTTCTTTCCAATTACCCTAATAACAAATGCTTTTGCTCCAGAAAGAGTAATAACAAATGCTTTTGCTCCAGAAAGAGTTTTACAGCACTTGCAACAATTGTCAAAGAATAGAACTGTTATAACCCAGTGACAAACACAAAATAGAAGGAGAGACTTAAGGGGAGGAGCGACCCTTGATTCTGCAGATTTTGGGTCAGGTTATGCACATTTTATGTTGGCTGATTTTTTAAGATAAACCAGTTTTTTGTCTAAAAATAGCATGGATATAATTGACAAAGACTTTATTCTCCAGGTAAATTGCCTTTAAAAACATGAGGATGGATTAATATAGTGAATTTTCTCAATTATTGTCTGTTTTCGCAAAATATAATTTTTGAGCAGTTCTTTCCCTACTCCTTCCTTAGTTTTTATTCTTTTGACATGAAACTTTCAGGAAACATAGATGGCAAGGCTTCCATTAATGTAACAGAGATATTTGAAAAAAATAATACTTTTCCATTGGCAAGCGATTACGCCACCTAAATTTAGAAAAGGTATTTTTATACTTTGGGAAAATTCTCATATTTATTTTTCTTTTGCACTTATTGAAAAAAACTTGCTGTTACTCTGATAGGGTCTGGTCCAGGTATACTCTCGTCAAATTTGGTCTCTAAATAAGAAAGCCTTAGGGATTTGAAATTCATTGTTTCTTTTCAAGATGGCGGCCATTTCCATAGCAACCGCTCTAGCTATGCCAAAATAGAATTGCGTATCAAGAGATTTTACTATGTCTAACTTATATGTGTACTTAGATTTGATCTCCGGATACAAACATAGAAAATGTTCCTCAAGGGTAGCTCCTCCCGTTAATAAGGATAACAGAATATTTGATAAAAAGAAGGAGAAAACCCACCAGGGCAAACAGCACGCCACGCCAACCAACTATAAGCACACAACCCACGACTCACAGAAAGGAGTGGCGCCATCTGAAGCCATTTGTCCAGGCTATGGGGGTTGAGCTCAGGCCGGACTATAGCCCAGATATCTGAGCCCCCGACCAGACTGTGGAACGGCAGACGCGTGGCACTCCTAGCAGGGAGGGCATTCAGCTCCGGCAGCTGAGGACATGAACGTTGAAAGTGCGATATAGTCAGACTTGCTTTTGACAGTCACCTGTCCCAGGACAATCACCCATACAAATGACCACTCCCCCCCCCCTCCCGGGCATATTATGTTTTTTTGTTTGTTTTTTTATATAATGTTATAATCACATTGATTGTTTAGTTCTAGTAAAACTTTTACGGCACTTTCAACACAAGGTCATAAAAGTGCTTACGATTAAAAGTGTTACAAGACACAAAAAGGAGAAGGAGAGAAAAGATGATAGATATAATATTTAATAGGAAAGACGGAGCAAACCACACCAGAGCACCCGCAAACCACCCACTAATGACATTGTCCAAGAGGTCCACCTGTCTACAACAAACACTTTTCTCCGCAGCGTTGGGAGGCTGTCAGTTTGTCAGATTGAGCTCAGTTCAGAATAGAGGTGACAAGGTCAGTTCATTTCAGTTCAGGCTGAGACACGGAACTCTTTTAAGACGTACATTTTGTGTGTTACCTAATTTCGGTTGAAATTTTCATACCTTGATATTTCTCGAACACGATTGATTTTCTTCATATTTTTTTACAAAATCGACCTCCCCCTGACTGATTCTGTATATTCGAAGTTTTTTAAAATATTAATGTAGAGATGACTGAGCTATTGCCCTATAAGTGGGTCCTCTTTTTTTAAAGACACCCTGTAGACGGTAGACATGACTTCTCATACTTGGATTGTTTTGTGTATCAAAATTTCAAGGAGGAGGAGGAGGAGGAGGAGGAGGAGGAGGAGGAGGAGGAGGAGGAGGAGGAGGAGGAGGAGAAGGAGAAGGAGAAGGAGAAGGAGAAGGAGAAGGAGAAGGAGAAGAAGAAGAAGAAGAAGAAGAAGAAGAAGAAGAAGAAGAAGAAGAAGAAGAAGAAGAAGAAGAAGAAGAAGAAGAAGAAGAAGAAGAAGAAGAAGAAGAAGAAGAAGAAGAAGAAGAAGAAGAAGAAGAAGAAGAAGAAGAAGAAGAAGAAGAAGAAGAAGAAGAAGGAGAAGGAGAAGAAGAAGGAGAAGAAGAAGAAAAACAACAACAATAATAATACATGACAATTATACAGCACTCAACCCTGATTAAAGTACACAGGCACTTTACAATACAACAGTAACATATAATCAATACATTGTGTTCTGACTAAAAGAAAATCTAAATATTTGTCTTATTAATTTAAAAACAGAAATGACTTTAACTAATATTTGAATGAATTAAAGGATTTGATCTCTTAAACTACCGGACAAAGTATTCCAGATCTTGGGACCTTGATATTTAAATGCTCTTAATGGAACCATAGTATGCTAATATTTTAATACTTTTAAAACCATGGGTCTCAACTCAGAATTTTTAAAAAGGAGAAACTTTTGCGGGTGAAGCCCATTTTCGCGAAACACCCATTATTATTATACTGTTGAACCCTAGAATGCTGAAATAAAAACCATCAATTTATCAAAGCAAGGTTATTTCACTCCAATTTGAGGGTTTGTAAGATAATTTCAAGAGTCACTTACCAAATATTTACAATCTTGATTACGTACAGAAAGTGGTGGCGCACTGGGGTCTTGTGCGACTTATTTATATTTTTCCCTTCATCATTCTCCTGCATATATAAACTATATAAAAATGAATCTTGTCTTGAGCCTGAGAAAAGGCCTAGAACCAGAATATCGACTGTCATGAACCAGTCTGGGTGTCATAATTCATATCATATATGACAGTGGAACTTGGATTCAACGAGGTCGCCGGGCCTGACCTAAAATCTCGTTGAATCTGAGTGTTCGTTATAGCAAACACGAGGTTTTGTGTAGATGATTACAGGCACTGAGCAAGTAATGTATAAAGGGAAGTCACAAATAGTGCCTGATATTATAAGCTGTGTAAAAAAAAAGACCGATTTGTTCAAATGCACTCCTGTGTCATCTCGATTATTTACCAAAAAGTTGTGTTGCTGTGTAGAGCCTAGCATAAACAGCAACTTTAGATTTCATAGACAATCGCACAATTCATTACGAAGATCTATGTCAAGACTAGCTTATCATTGTAATAATGATCAGTTGCAGAGGGGAAAAAAAGACTGTGACGCGTCTGTATCTGCGACGTTCAACGCCCGGACCTCTAATGCGAGCCCCCCTCCCCGACACACACACACACGCACACACACACACACACACACAGTCACACGTGTGCAGGCCGCCCATCCGACCCCGACACACGTCAGAGTAGACTCGTGCGCGAGCCAACAACGCATGTGTTGGTATGAAAAAAGGCCGCTGATTGGTCGCATGCAATCGGTTACATGAATAATGGTTCACGATGCAGTTGCAATGGATGGTTTCTGGGAACAGATAAAGTTCGTTCGTTCTGGGAGAAAAATGAGCGAAGCCACGTCTGCAGGGCCTGTTCACCCTGGAAGCGACCTTGTTGAATCCGTGCTCGCTGATTTTAGTGCTCGTTGAATCCGGGTTATTTTTTATTGATTTTAAAGAAGGAAAATAAAACCCGGGGAATCTATCTCCTCTCGTTGAATCCGAGTTCAACTGTATAATAAACGTGAAAGACAAAAATTAATGCTCCAACTCAAAGTAGAGTGATAACTTGAATAGCTCCAGTAGACCTATTCAGTGTGAGAGGTGTATGAATTGTGAGAGGGCAAGATGCAGTGACACTGAAAATCTGCGAATCTTGAACAGAAAGCTAAAATATAGAGATATAATTTACTGTCACCCATCCAATGAAACGCGAACACTTAGGTCCCTAAGTTCAATAACACGCTTACAAGTTATGACGATTGCCGATTTCACACAAGGCCTGCACCAACACGCACTTTACTTTGCAAAATTGGTAGTAATCCAAATTCTAAATATTAAAAATTTGCTTCCAACTTTAGTTTTTTTTGTCCTCAGGTGTTGCGTTCAGCCCCCCCCCCCCCTCCCCCCCCCCCATCCCCGAGTACAAAAAATCAATAATCTCCCCCCATTCCAGAGTCCGGTACTTCGCAGCGCTCAGAACGTGCACAGGTTCACTGACCGGTCACAATGGCGAGCCCGACAAGACGCTTGCATGACTTTTTTTCTTTTTTTTGTTTTTTTTGCCCCCCACAAGTGACAGCACAGTGACAAATATTGATTTATTTTCATGGCGATACCACGTTTGTAATGCAGAACCTGCATGTTACAAATGTTGCATTATGCGACAATTACTGACAAATTTCTGGGTGGTAATGAAAGCGAAAGTAGATTTTGATTTTCCGGTCGAGCCTCGGTGTCACATACAATTCCGCTTGCCGCCATAGCCGCCTGTTCGTGTGAAACGTACTCTCAAAAAGGGAAAAGTCGAATTAATGTCACAATTGTGACCAGCAAAATTGAACTTAAAGACATTATCAGGTTTGGTTTTCAAATATATTCGAGACCTTTTATGTATCTTCCGGGGTCTGTGGGTTTTTTTGCAAATTCCCGGGTAGTTCCCAGGGCCTGGCAGTCACCCTGCTCCCAGCAACTCTCTTTCTGATCGGTCCGCTGTCGCAGTAGCGGAGTTCAGTGGAGGAAATGGCGGTAGCGGAAATCCGCTAAATAGCGGAATATTGAGACCCATGTAAAACAGAACATTCTAAAAAGAACACTCGCTTTCTGTTTCTTTTGGGCGGGTGGGGGGGATTTTTGTTGGGTTTTTTTGTTCAAAATTCAAAAGGCGTAGAAATCACGTCAAATCAGGCCTGTTCATACTCACGTCACACGCTGTGCCCGTCCACTGGCTGCATTCTTTACGCTCAAGGTCACCCGGGGGACTGTTGCGGGTGTATATTCCCAGGAAGCGAAGCAGCTGAAGATTCTAAACAGATTTGGGGGGGAGGGGGGGAAGAGGGGGAAAGCAACCACTCTCAGAGACGAAAATTTAGGTTAAATTTGCATGCTTAACAGGCAGTAGGTAGATCACACACTTGACGACATCCTTCTGTTTACATTCTTTGATGTGGGTTTCAGTGTGCCTGATGCGTCGAAAGCAAAAAACCGTCTTTCTCTTTTCTTTTTTGAAGGGGAAATTTCTCCCAGCTCGGGAATCCAACGAGGGTCTCCTGTGTGAGAGCGAAGCAGCTAACCACTACACCACAAACAACGCCAATGCCAGAGACATTAAAAAATACTTTTTTTAAAAATAATTTTTTATCCTTCAGACCAAACTTTTCTCCATTTAATATTTTCAAGCCACTCAACAAAGTCCATCTGCAGCAAAAATCTGTCCAACCAACTTATGGGATTCACCGTCATCATTATTCACAAATCTTGTCTTAAAAGTTAATGATTTCCCCTCAGCATCATCAAGACTGTGAAGTGGAATTACCCATAGAAAACAGAGAACATATTTTTTCTGATATGAAAACAGTCTTCCATACTCACACCTGCAAAAATGTATTAAATGCATTTTTTTTAAAACATAATTGTCAAATGGCAAAACCAAACTTACTTTAACTGTCGTATCCTTCTTTTCCCTCTCCTGAAGTTCTTGCAGCAAAAACTCCAGAATCTCGTAATCGTACGAACTCGTCTGAAAAGGTGAAGGTGATTGGTGGAGGCGTATGAGAATCATTCAAAAGAGACAGACAGACAGGAGAGACAGACAGACAGACAGAAAGTGCATAAGTTGAGGGAAAGGAAAAATAAACTCCAAGTATATTCATTTATCAGGGAGAGACAAACTGCCTCGAACTCTCTTGAGCTGAGTTCGTCAACCAGCTTCTGTTGAGTTTTACAATATCTAAGCACTTACTGAAGGGGTTCATTCTTAACGAACTCTCAATGAATTCTTCATTCTTACTAAGGGGGTAATTTTTAATGAGTAGCCTACTGAGTACTGGTATCGATTAGCACCCACCACTTACTCTGCCGTAAGCTAAAATCCACAACAAGTTTCGAGATAAAGAGGCTTTTTTTCACAGCATAACGATTTTTTAAAATACCATTCTTCCAAAAATTGAATTCTTATTCATCCAAACACTAGTCACAGTTTCACTTTGAATTTTTCACACAAGTAGGGTAACTGATCAGGCTTTCATTTCCGAGTCTGGAGTTTTTCCGTACGCCGTCAAGTACATACGGCAGAGAGCATTCAACACCACACTTGCCTTTCCCTGGCTGCATTCTCCAATTTCGGCACACCTCTCGACAGCACACAGGAACTCAACACTTGCTCGGGGGTCCTTAAAAAGTGCTTAACGTGGGTCACTGAAATGTCCCAGCAGACATGTCCTGGCATCATAGTTGACGGGACATTTCAGGAACACATGACCCATAGTCTCGTCCTCCTCCTTACAGGGTCAACAGGACAGACGTGGGTAGTCTGCTGGCGCAATTTTGTGTAGATATGATTTCAGGTTGTGTCATTTTCTACCAGTTTTCACTTGGGAGAGAAGCTGGCGGTCTTGTCGTCTGAGCAAGGCCTCAAGCTGGTATGATAGCAGCTGCGCGAACGGCAGTTTGGGTTTCGCCTCTTTCCATTTTGCCAGGGTCGACCAGTGGGTTACGGATTTCGGTACATCCAGGCCCTTGGTGATTGCCTCATCTCGCATTGTGCCGCAGTAGCTTCCAGTTGGTCTACCTCTTTCAATTTAGCATATCAAAAAATATTGGCGCAAAAAAAAAAAAGAAAGAAAAAAGGTGTTTTGTAAGTTCAGTGCTTCCACCAGCTGAAGCAGAAAAGTAAGGAAAATTCTGCCGCGGGTCTGGGGGCTGCACAGGCCCCCAGCAGGGTCCAGGGACAGAGTCCCGGTGGGCGTTCAGGGGGCGATGCCCCCAAAGAAATTGAAATATAGCGCTTTTAGAGTGTTAAAAATGGCATTTGGGAGCCTGTTTGAAGAAACTGTCTACAACCCATAACATTTATTTGTTCGCCAACATTTTGTCTTGTTTGATTTTTTCACCTACATATCTTTCCATTGCTGGCAATGTTTAAAAGTACGTTCCCCTTCCATTGCTACTATAATAAAAACTAATTTGTCATCGCACGATTGATAGAAGGCAAACGTGGGAATAATGAATAGATATGTACCTTCACAATACAGTTACCCAGCGTACACGCTAATTTTCCACAATTTTCACTTCTGAATGTCGCATGTCATAACCTCGGAACACCACTTCAAATTAAATCTATTCTTGATTTTAGTAAGTTTTTGCATAATTTATTTCATCGCGGCCCTTATCGCGTTCCCGTGCCGTAGAATCTTTGCATTGATATTTCTCTAGATCTAGACAATAAATTTGCAAACAAGTTTCTTTCTGACAGTAATTTTCTGTCTAAGATGACAAGTCAATTTACTTGATCAACGCGCATATTTTCCAGCCGCAGCAACAGTCCTAAGATAGACAGACGGAATGAGTGAACGATGGAAAGGAGGAAATTGGCACAAAAAGTTCGCCAGATTTTGATCAATCTGCAGGTAAAAGTGTACTGCCGACCAACCCGCAATGAACGCATGGGCAGGTCTCTGTAACATTAACTCATTGCCGAGAGAATTACCGTGAATATCCGTAGCTTATACAAGACGATACGGAGGCGAGCACAGATCTTTTGCTACGGAATTTCAGTAGATATCTAGTCCTACGCCGTTGCAGTTTTTTTACGGAGGGAGTTGATAATGATGGAGGAACAAGTACGGAACTGGCAGAAAGTACGGATTTCTGTAAAAATACGGAAGAGTGGAAGCACTGAAGTTAACAGCAGTACTGGCCTGCACAGCCATTGCCACGTACCTTCTTGAGCAAAGAGCTGAGCACAGAGTGCTGGCGGCTGTGGGAGATGGCAGCGAGTATCTCCTGGGCCTTCCTCAACGAGGCCGCGGTGAACGCTGACCCTGAGCACTGGGACAGGTGGCCATCCAGGAGCAGCACTAGTTTGGGGTCCAGCTCACTCTGGTCCAGGTTGAAATTACTAGAGGATGAGGGGGGATAGGAAGGGGGAAGGGGACATACGGATGGATGGGGAAGGGGAGGTGGGGATGGATGGGGGAAGGGGAGATAGGAATGGAAAGGGGGACGGGGGACGGGGAATGATGATGAGGGGAGGGGGAGGAAGAGTGGGGGAGGGGGAGGAAGAGTGGGGGAGGGGGATGAAATGGGGGATGGAGATGGGTGAACGGGGATGGAGATGGGGGAAGGGGGAGGGGGAAGGGGATAGGGATGGGGAAGGAGGGGGGGAACGAAAGTGGGTAAAAATGTAAATTAGTCATCTCTATACATAAATTATATATGTGAGGCATCATGATAACAGTTTAGTTTTAGTAAGCGTTTTACGGCACTCGCAACACAATAAGCTCGTATAAGTGCCCCGATTAGAGGTGTTACAAGGGAGTAAAAAAACACAAAAAAGAAGGAGGGGAGATAAAGATGATGGCTGTTCGATAGGAAAGAAGGAGCAAACCACACCAGAGCACCCGCCAACCACCCACATCGTGATATCAGCACAAGAAAATTTCAAACACAAAAAAGAAGGAGGGGGAGATAGCGACGATAGACATTTTATAGGGAAGAAGGAGCAAGCTACACCAGAGCACCCACCAACCACCCACTCATAAAAGTCTACTCACTCAAAAAACTCCTGAACCTCCCTGACCCCACAGAAGGGGCTGCGGACTAGGTGGTCCACCATGGCCAAACCTTGCTGACCTTGGAGCTCCAAGTCCTGAAACAACACAAGGGGAACCAATGACTACCTCAGAACTACAAAGTCCAATCTGACATTTCTTACCCTTTGAGTTACAAAGGCCATGAGGTCAGAAATCAAATGATTGAAATTTTCTGTCTGCTCTATCAATATAATAAGATTATTCAGAGTCACTATTCTAAGAGTTGCATTCGAAAAAGCTTAATATGTTGCGAAACTCAGAATCTTTGATGTCTTAGTTTAAGTAGAAGATTTTACAGCGCTCGCAACTGCATAAGGTCATATGAGCGCCAGAAGAATAGAGGTGTTACAAGAGAGTAACAAACATAAAAAAGAAGGAGGGGAGATAAGGACGATAGATGTTTGACAGGAAAGAAGGAGCAAACCACACCAGAGCACCCGCCAACCACCCACTCTTTGATGTCTAATTTCTCAAAACTAAGTACTGAGCAGATAGAACTTGTAATTCTGAGGTAGCAAAATAGAGCTGACTGTTTGTCTTGCTAGTTTGTATTAATATAAAGGAGAAGCACATCGACACAATAGTGGTCATTAAGTGCTGCAGAAAAAGTAAAACCAATAAAGAGAAGCAACAGAGGGAAAAAGAAAGAGGAGGATTCTTCTCAGGAAGATGAGGTTCTATCAGAATGAAAGCACGTCTGCTGGGGTTATAGTACTGATTGTAAAGCGAATACAGCTTGCTTTTGAGCAGGAATTTGGGCTACACATATGTTATCTATGAAAAGAAGTAGGACCTACCAATGACACCCTCTTGCCACCTGCAGATAGAGGTGTCCACTATAGACATGCAAAGAATCCAGGTTTAGAGTCAGGAAAGACAACTTTTGTTTCTTCACTAATAGAAAAGAGTAAAACACCATAGACAACACAAACAATCTACATAGAAAGGACCAGACTCTCGTGAGAAATTCTGGGAGGCAACATGATAAATTCTTTTGTTTGTTTTTATAAAGTGTTTTACGACGCTTGCAACTGCATAAGGTCGTATGAGCGCGCGGGACACATCTAATATTTTCAGTTGGTAGAAAATTTCGAATTTTGCCAGGGTGGCGGCCGAACCCTACTCTTATCCATTTTAGACCACCAAGGGATCTTTAACGTGCGCAACTTGCACGTGGGCCCTCCGAGATTTTTCGCCCTTGTCCAAGAAGGCTAGGTGTAGATCTTTCCTACCAGAAGATCAGGGGTGTGGCAGAAAGACAGCAGTAAGGAGGAGCCAAGGAGTAGCAGTAGAAAGGCTGCAGAAAGAGTCAGGAGCCCAGAGGAGGGGGCAAAGGAGGTGAGAGGGTGGGGGCAGAAAGTGGAAATGAAAGCAGACGACAGAACATTGTTAGAGAGCAGGAAAGGAGGTGAAAGGAGACAATTTTAGAGAAGAAAATTTTTCGGTCGTTACCTGGATTCGAACCCGGGACCTTTGAATGAGAGGCCAACACCTTAACCTCTAGGCCACGAGAGCCCCATGATGAATTCATCTCTTGTTTGTTTATGTAAAGAGAAAGAATTATGCCATTTACGAGGGACGTCCAGAAAGTAAGTACCATTATCACATCTCTCTGAACTGGGTTAGGATATTCCCGATTTCGCACCACAGTGAGTTGATGTGTTCAATACAAAACCAAAAAGAGCCCTCAGCTTCTATCTTGCCGTTGTAAACAACAATCTACCTACAACGCTTGAAAAACATCTCCCCCAGTTTTTTCCCCGCCAGTTTACACAGACACATTTTGTATCAAACATCCCACACCCTTTTGAAGCTTCAACATGTCTTCCAAGATGGAAAATTATCCTGACAGTGAAATTCGGTCTGTTATTCGTTTTCTGACTGCAAAGAACACGAAGCCTAGCGTCATTCATAGGCAGATTTCTGAAGTGTATGGTGAAAATGCAACGGGCAAAAGCATGGCGCGGAAATCGGTTCGCATGTTCAAAGAGGGACGAGAAAATGTGCATGACGAACCCAGGAGTGGGTGTCCATCTTTGGTCACTGATGATTTGATAAACAAAGTTGACATTAAGGTAAGCGAAGACAGGCGTTTTACCCTTTCCTCACTCTCTTCAAACTTTCCTGAGATTTCAAGGTCGCTTCTGCATGAAATCGTCACTGACCATTTGGATTGTCGAAAGATGTGCTCACGCTGGGTACCCAAGCAGCTGACACAAGCGCATCAGGATCAACGGGCTGCCAGTGCATTGACATTCCTGACATGTTACAATGACGAAGGAGATGACTTTCTTACTCATATTGTGACAGGGGATGAGACCTGGTTACACCACTCCACGCCTGAGTCAAACAAGCAGTCGGTGCAGTGGAAGCATACGGACTTCCCCCAGCCAAAAAAGTTCAAGCGGGCCACGTCAGGTCATACATATGTACAGTGTTCTGGGACAGGCAAGGAGTTCTTTTAGTAGAATTTTTGGGAAATGGGATGACAATTAACTCTGATGTGTACTGCAACACACTTAAAAAACTGCGTAGAGCAATTCAGAACAAAAGACGTGGAATGCTCAGCGACGGTGTTCTTCTGCTTCACGACAATGCAACTCTTCACAAGTCTGCACAGACCCAAAACCTGATTGCCTCCTTCTAATGGGAACAGTTGAAGTGTTGAAGCACCCATTGTACTGCCCAGACCGGGCTCTCAGTGTCTTTCATCTGTTCCTGCATTTGAAAAAGTTTTTGGCCACGCAGGACTTCGACTCAGACGCTGATCTTACAGGAGAGACTCGACATTGGCTGACATCACAGGCGGCAGCTTTCTGTGATGAGGGCATTCAGAAGCGCGTCCCACGCTAGGACAAATGCCTCAACAGATCTGGTGACTATGTGGAGAAGTAGTCATATATATGAGGTATTCCAAAATAAATCATTTTGATTGAGAAAATTATTTCTTTTATAATTATTTTAAAACTGTACTTACATTCTGGACATCCCTCGTAGTAGAGAGTGGGAAAAGTAAGATAGACGGACAGAGACAACTGAAGGAAGGAAGGAAAAAAAAAAGGACTACCAGTAGTGACTTCCAACAACCCGCTCAAAAGTCTCGTGAAGGACATTTTGGAGGCAACAAAACTAATCAAACTCTAACCTGCAAAACTAACAACTAGCGGTCCCACAAAGGACATTTCACGCTAAACATCTCATTTGGCGCATGATTCCAATCAGAGATAGACGTACATTCTGAGGTCCCACCTCTTAAATCTTCATCCTCCTCTTCTTCTCCTCCATTCATCATACTTGAAGTCTGGCATTCCTCATGTACAGAGCTAAATTCTTCTGTTGTCCTCTTAAATAGCCTTATCAATTTTTTTCCCCAGCCTATAAATGCTTTCCTCAGAACGTTGCTCCTCTGTTGTCCCCTTAACTCTCACTATCACGAGCCTAGTCCACTGCTCACCACTTTGTGCTTCATACTTTTTTGTAATAAACGAAACTGAAATCTCAGGCTGAAAAACGATCATTTTTTAATTTTTAGCAACATGTTGAGGTAGGTCATTATTTCCCTTTTATTTTCATATATATGTGTCACCACAGAGTGGAATCAGGCGTTCGTCAATTTTTGGGCATATGGAGTTATAGCTATCATCTTAAAGCTTTTTCATTTGTCTTGCTTTCAATGAAAAAAGTTACACATCCATCTTCAATAGAAGTGGAGACATTTTGGATTGAAGGATGACCTGATTTCAGAGGTAAAATTAGCGAGAAAATGGTCGCCAAAGTTTGGTGATTTCCAAGCTGGAGAGTCCATGAAAACTGTAAATTTACATTTTGTGCCTTTAATCAATGTTTTTCGGTAAAATCCTCACAGGAACTTGTGTCTAAATGGACATGAAAGGCGTCAAGCCAAAGATAGAAAAATTGATAAAAATTGCCAAAAGGGGAGAAAAATTCTGTTTCTTCCATTTCATTATGTCGGCGAACCCCTGATTTCACCATGATGCCTCGCATATTATAACACATGTAGCTGATATTGAAAATTGAACTCAAAACCTTTAATTCATCTGAGGATAGGTAGAATCAGAAAGTAGGTCACAGATAAGACCCAGTTCAGGCGAGGAGAAACCCCTGGTAAAGGAAGTTTTAATAACTTTACCAATTTTTTTTTTTTCAACCTGTAAACTCTTTCCCCACAACGTTGTTCCTCTGTTCTCTTTTTTAATAACCGTATCAATTTTTAGTTTTTTTGCGGCCTGTAAACACTTTTCCCAGAACAGAACATACCACTCCAATCTTGCGCAGCCGGTTCCCCCACTTGGCAGAGCGGGTCATCCTCTGTGCGCCGGCCATCAGCTGTTCATCCTGGTGCATCTCCGCAGCCATTACAGCCACTTGGGATACTTGCTGGGGGGAGGAGAAAGATACTACAGGAATATCAAAACAGTCACTTGGGATACCAGTACAGTCAAAGCAGTCAAAAATGTCCAAGAAGGTCATCCATCCATTGCTAAGGAGAAAAGTAGTTGTTTTATACAGGTGGATGTCTCTGGGAGAAAAGTAGTTGTTTTATACAGGTGGATGTCTCTGGGAGAAAAGTGGTTGTTTTATACAGGTGGATGTCTCTGGGAGAAAAGTGGTTGTTTTATACAGGTGGATGTCTCTGAGAGAAAAGTGGTTGTTTTATACAGGTGGATGTCTCTGAGAGAAAAGTGGTTGTTTTATACAGGTGGATGTCTCTGGGAGAAAAGTAGTTGTTTTATACAGGTGGATGTCTCTGAGAGAAAAGTGGTTGTTTTATACAGGTGGATGTCTCTGGGAGAAAAGTGGTTGTTTTATTTATAGAGGTGGATGTCTGAGACAGCATTATCATAATATAGAAAGTGAAAAAAAGAAAAAAAGGGAAAGTGGGCAGTGGTCCTTTATGCAGGTGATTGTCTTGAACAAGCGGCCGTTAGAGCGGGTTCATTACCTTCAGGACTGATTATCTTCACAAGTCATTACCTTCATGACTGATTATCTTAATAAGTCATTAACTTCATGACTGATTATCTTCACAAGTCATTTCCATCGTGACTGATAATCTTCCCAAGTCATTACCTTCAAGACTGGTTACCTCAAGTGATTACCTCCCTCATAAATAATTACCATCATAAATCGTTACCACCATCATTCACCCTCTTCCTAAGTCATTACCTCCACAAGCCTCAACTTCATAACTCGTTATATTAAATTCACTACCCTAGAATTACAAAGTTCTATCTGCTCAGTACCTTGTTTTGAGAAATTTGATGTAAAAAATTTTAATTTTCAAAATGTGTCACGCTTTTTCTAATGCAATTCTTTGAATATCTTGATGACGACTCCGAATAATTTTACAATTTCAACAGAGCAGATAAGACATTTGGTTTCTGATCTCAAGGTCTTAATAACTCAAAACGGCCAAAAATGTCAGAGAGAACTTTGTAATTCTAAGGGGGCTAATTATTACTACCTTCACGAGCCATTACCTTCAGCCTCTTGTAGTTGGTCCTGCAGGATTGGACGGCGTTCTTCACCAGCGTCAAGCCTTGGCGTGTCGGGAGGAAGGTCAGATGGGACAGGGCCAGGAGGAGGTCCACGCGCTGCGAGCCTAGCATCTGCACCAGTCAGCCGAAAAACAGATTTTTGTTTGTTTTAGTAGAGGTTTTATGGCGCTCGCAACTGCCTAAGGTCATATGAGTGCCAGAAGATTAGAGGTGTTACAAGAGAGTAACAAACATAAAAAATAAGGGGAGATAAGGACGATAGATGTTTGAAAGGAAAGAAGAAGCAAACCACACCAGAGCACCCGCCAACCACCCACACGGATTTTTCGGGGGGGGGTAGTTTTAGTAAAAGTTTTACAGCAGTTGCAACACAATCAGTTAGTATTAGAATGTTTCTGAGTGTTCTAGAGTCTGCTAGGGTAATACTGGTTGTAAATCGCATAGAGCATGCTGTAGACCATGGACTTGCACTATTAAATGCAATTACTATTAATATTGTTTTCATCAAAATATTATTATTAATATTATTAGCACCTTGAATATCTATGTACTGCTAATTTAATTTTTAGTTTTCAGGCACTTGCAACACAAAGTGCCAAAATTAAAAAAGTGTCACTAGAGAGTAACAAGGAAAGAAAAGAGGGAAGAGAGGAAGATGTCTGATAAGGAAAAAAACAGGTAACCACACAATAGCACCCGCCAACAACTCATAAACAAAGTATAGCAAGAACAAAGCAACAACGAAAAAGAAAACAAAATTACAACAAAAGCATGTGAACAGAAAAGTTTAGTTGTAGTACGAGTTTTAAGGCACTTGCAACACGATTAGGTCATACAAGTTGTATGACCTAATCGTGTTGCAAGTGCCTTAAAACTCGTAACAAGTGCCAAAGGTTAGGGGTTACAAGAGAGTAACAAACACAAAAAAGGAGAGATAAGAACGACAGCTGTTTGAAAGGAAAGAAGGAGCTCACCATACCAGCAGAGCACCCGTCAAAACCCCGTAAAAAGTAAAAAGAAAAAAGAAGACAGTAATAAATACTTGAAACAAAGAACAGAAAGGACTCCTGCCATTGTGAAAAAAAGAGGTAACTCTTAACAGCAATCGCCCATTGGCCACAGATTAACTGAGAGTGCTTCCCCCCCCCCCCCCCATCTCCATGAAATCCTTGAATTTTTGTTTGGTTTGGTTTTCTACCTTTGTTAACAGGCTGGCAGAGAATCTGACGGCAGATTCTGCGCCCTGTTGAAAAATCTCCAACTTGTCTCTCACGGGAAGAAATGGATTTGACGGAGTTGAGGCCAGAACAGCCCCTTGAAAGGCCAGGCTCGTATGCCCGCAGCTGTTGAAATATTCCAAAGCCTGGAAGAGGTTGGGCTCAGGGAAGTTGCTGCTTGCAACTGAAAAGAAAAGACAAATCATTTCTATACTCTATTTTGATGCTTTTTTCTTCTAAAAGTAAGTCAGTCCTAGTTTTACGGAATTTGCAACACAATAAGATCATATGTATACAAGTGCCGAAAATTACGAGTTACAAGAGAGTAACCAACACACACACACACAAAAAAAGAGGGGAGATAAGGACAACAAATGATTGATAGGAAAGAAGGAACAAACCACACCAGAGCACCCAACAACCACCCACACTCCATTTGGATGAGAAAATATACGTGTTCAATGTTACAATTTTTGGTTCACTTATGCACAAAATAAACGCTCTCTCTCTCTCTCTCTCTCTCTCTCTCTCTCTCACACACACACACACACACACCCACACACAAATGCACACTTTGAAAAAGAGCGTAACCGAACACAGACTTAACTACAACTAACCAATAGTGTTACTGTTGCAGTTACTCTCCTCCCCAGGAGAGGAGTCGCCTTCAGAGAGAGTGGACACAGAGAGCATTGAACCCTCCCCTGGCACTGCGGACAGAAAGCCCTCCAACACATCAGTCAGGACCACTTCAGAACGGAGGTTCCGAGACTTCTCCACAAAATCATCCGACCCCCAGTCCGCCATCAAAGAGTCCACAAAGGATGCTTCAAAGTCTCCATGATCCTGAAATATGGGCATTTCTAATTAGGATTTTTTTAAAGGAAAAAAATACAGTCCAACCTGCCCTGACGGCCACCTCTATAAGACGGCCACCTGTACAAACGGCCACTTTCCATTTCCCCCTTTTATTTTTTTCTATATAATTTAACTGTAAAACGGGCACCTGTCCAACGCGGCCGCGGCCACCATATTTTAACACACAACCCTTATCACACAAAGCAATAACTCCTGTCTAAGACGGCCACCTGAGTGACTCCATTACGTTTTGTCATAAATTGTGCATTGGCCCATTGCGTTGTGGGCGAGCCGTCATAATTCACCTGTCGTTGTTGTTAGGTAGTCCCTCCAACCGATCATGTTGCGAAGGCCCCTACCCACTGTTGACCAATAGCTACCAATTTTTAGCTGCTGGTGAGGTAAGCGTGTGATCCCTCATAACCCATAAGCCCCGCCCAGAACTCATACACAAATCGTAAGTGAGATGACATGGTTACTGTTTACCTAGTCTGTAACAAAGTAAAAAAGGACGTCAACATGAACTTGTGACAGAAGCGTCGCTTGTTCTCCGAGTAGTGGCGACCCATGTGTTTGTTTTAACATGGCACTCGGTCTTCCTCGTCTGATACATTTCGTTTTTTATTATCACCCTTGTGCAAAACCAGCAACAAAATAAAAATTACAAACAAAATACAAACCACCACCACCACCAACAACAACAACAACAATGCGGCTACTTTTGATTGGGACCTCAGATGGGAATGGTTTGTTTTCTTCACCTTGATCAGTCCTGCCTAAGACGGCCACCTGTCTTATACGGCCACTTTTCTCCTTGACAATGGGAGGCCGTCTTACACAGGTTTGACTGTATGCAGAAACCTGACTTTTTCATAAATGGCACGTACCCACGCACACAACTAAGCCCGCTAGGCTGGTAAAAATGAGGTATCAACAAAGAATTTTGAAAAAATTTTATTTAGTTTTAGTGAAAATGTGACTTCTTCTTAAGCTCACTCTTTGTTACAAACTGTTTTCACTGTAATTAAAAATGGAGATACGACAAAGCACTGAGGTCGTGGACTCTCAAGCTATGGACGTCACCAAACTTTGGCAGCCATTTTCTCCTAATTTTACCTCTCAAATCGGGTGACCCCTACCTCCAATGCAAATATCTTGACTTTTATTCAAGATAAAAGGGTATTTTTTCCTCCATAACAAGGCATATAAACAGGCTAGTAAGAAAATACCAATAACAGAATATGCCAAAAACTTGAATAGCGCCCGACTATACCGCGTCTTAAAACAAATATCAAATCAAATCTTACCTGGCACACTCTCAAGGAATTTTCCACCACGGACAAATAGGAGCAAAACCTTAGAACCTCAGGAAGAATTTCTGGGGGAAAAAAACACACAAAAAACAACAGACTTCTAAGTTGAAAATTTTTTCTTCAGCAACATAATGTAGGTCTTTAAGAAGAAAGCATGCTGACTTGACCCCTCCTGATTTTAGTTTGGTGTGACTGAAGACAAGTTTTTAGTTTTAGTAAGTAAGAGTTGTACAGCATTTGCA